TTCCGTTCCCTAGTTCGGAGGCAACGGCAAAGGCACCGCTTGATGAGGTGGTGATGGACGTGGTGGGCCCCCTGAAGCTTGGAGCTGCTGGAGCTGAGTATTTTCTCACCATTGTCGACGTCTACACCCGCATGACTTGGGTGTACGTGCTGGCCAAGAAGAGCGACGTGGCTGAAACGTTGAAGACGGATTGGTTCCCGATGGTGGAGCGGCAACAAGACCGTCTAGTCAAGTCAATCCGCACCGATCGAGGGGGAGAGTTCCTGAGCAAGGAGTTTGGGTTGTGGCTGAAGAAGAATGGTATTCGGCACTCCCTCACCATGCCATACTCCCCTGCAATGAACGGCATCGCCGAGCGAGCGAACCGCACAATCACGGAGGCGGCACGCGGGTTGCTCATTGAAGCCGGGCTACCCGACTATTTCTGGCCTGATGCGGTGCGGAGCGCGTGTGTGGCCAAGAACAGAGCCTTGACTCATGTGGGAGCAGACAAATGGGTGCCCTATGTGGAGTGGCTAGGAAGGAAGCCAAAGGTGGATATGCTTCGGGTGTTCGGGTGCATGTGCATGGCGCTCGTGCCTAAGCATCTTCGGCACAACAAGCTTGGTGCCAAGGCGGTGTGGGCCGTGCACTTGGGCATGGCTCAAAACAGCAAGGGATGGCTTCTTTGGGACCCATTCACCAAGAAGTTCTTGGTGAGCAGGGACTGCAAGTTCATGGAGAACTTCATGTACAAGGATTGGAAGGCGGAGAATGAGGCGAAGATAGGCGTGCGGTTTGGGGAGGTGAAGAGTTCCGGTTTGGAGCATGTGGAGCTGCCTTTGGAGCTGAGCAGCGGCAGCACAACCACAAGGCAATCCTCCCTTGTGAATGGGGTAGAGGAGGCCAATGATGCAGAGGAAGAAGAGGAGGAGGTGCAGCAAGTGAGCGAGCGTGCACCGTCACTCCCTTCCCGTACTACGAGTGCTCCACGGATTCGAGCCACACCGCAGCAACGCCAAGGCCTTCAAGTCCCTGCAGCTGAGGAGGAAGGAAGGGGGAAGAGGAGAGTTCAACCCCCTAATAGGCTGACCTATGATGCGCCGGGAAAGCAGGGCAAGACAGCCCTGGCCGGAGCGGCAATGATGGTCGGAGACGACGAGGAGAGTGACTACGAGGAGTGTGCCTTCGCGTTCTTCTCTCCGGTGGAGATGCCGGGAGAACCAGCAACTCTCAAGGAGGCTTTGGAGAGTAGTGATGCTGAGGAGTGGAAGAAGGCCATGGAGAGTGAGCTGAAGAGCATCGAGGAGAATGACACGTTTGAATTGGTGGAGCTACCGGAGGGGCGTACGGCGATAACGTCCAAGTGGCTCTTCAAAATCAAGTCGGATGCCGACGGCAAGATCGAGCGCTACAAGTCTAGGCTTGTAGCCAAGGGGTACCAGCAGAAGGAGAAGGTGGACTTCAAGGAGCTGTTTGCCCCTGTGGTGAAGCCGACGACGCTGCGAACCCTATTCGCGGGAGCCGCCATCAAAGGATGGGTAGTAAAGCAAATGGACATCGTAACGGCATTCCTTAACGGCATCCTTGAGGAGGAGATTTTTATGGCGCAGCCAGAGGGGTTTGATGATGGTAGTGGCAGAGTGTGGAAGCTGAAGAAGGCCCTCTATGGGCTGAAGCAGGCCCCTAGGCAATGGTACATGAAGCTGCGCGAAGTGTTGGAGGGGATCGGCTTCACTCCCTCAACGGCCGATCACTCCTTGTTCATGCTTGGCGAGGGGGAGCAGAGGAGTTTCATGGTGGTTTATGTGGATGACATCCTCATTTTCTCACCCTCTTCTGACCTTGTGAAGGAGGTGATGCTGAAGCTTCAAGACAAGTTCAAGTGCAAGGCCCTTGGTGACGTGAGCTTCTACCTTGGGCTCCACATCGAACGAGATGTGGAGAAGCGGTGCATGCGGGTGCATCAACGAAAGTACCTGGAGGCATTGGCTGCCAACTTTGGGCAGAGTGAAGGCCATGTGGCTACACCCTTTCCCTCTGGGTTCAAGTGTGTGAAGGGACCAGAGGAGGAGAGCGTTGGTGAAGAGGAGAGGCGCCGATTTCACTCGTTGGTGGGCAGCCTCATGTATGCGGCGGTAAACACCCGACCGGACGTCGCGTTTGCTACCGGGCAGCTGGATAGGGTTGTGCAATGCCCTAATGAGGAGCAGGTAGCAGCTGGAATGAGGGTGGCCAAGTATCTTGGCCAAACACCGACCGTTGGGCTGCAATACTCGGCGGCGGCACAAAGGCGCCAAAAGGGCGCGGATGGTGTTGAACCCGGGCGTTTGTTCCTCACCGCCTACTCGGATGCTTCATATGCATCAGAACCAGAGGACATGACAAGTGTGGGAGGCTTCATATGCTGTGTTGGTGGAGGCCCAACTGCTTGGGAGAGCAAGAAGCAGGTTGACCAAGCTTTGAGCTCGGTGGAGTCCGAGTACATGGCACTCTTCCGTGCCGTACGGGAGATTGTGTGGCAGCGGCGTTTGTTGGCTGAATTGGGGGAGGAGCAGCAAGGACCTACCCCACTGTACTGTGACAGCCAGGGTGCCATTGCTCTTGCTAAGAACCCTGTGTTGCATGGACTCACGAAGCACATGAGGGTGAAGTGGCATTGGACGAGGAGCATGGTAACCGCGGGTGAAGTTGAGTTGCGCTACGTGAAGACCACGGGGCAGCCGGCTGACATGATGACCAAGAGGCTGGTGGAGCAGCAGCATTGGAAGTGTTGCAAGCTGGCTGGGATGGCTCTGAACTGAGAGAGCAACATATCCTAAGGCCAACAATCCGAGGGGGAGTTTGTTGGTGCAACCCTACGGTTTGCACTCGGCTTGTTTTCCGTGTGCGTGAATGTGTGTGTGTATGGAATGGTATGAGGGCATGGGATAATATATATTTCATGCTTATAATTGTGTGTGAATGTTGAGTCATGATGTCGAGTGTGTGTGTCGAGTCAATAGCGAGTTATCGCTAGACGCGTGTTACGCGGTCGTTTGTGTCTCGCGCGCGGTTTCTATTTTGTCGTGCGCGGTTTCTATTTTGTCCTGTGTCGAACGTTCGGCGTGTCGCAGGTGTGTGCAGCAGACCCATCAAGAACTCAAGGATGAGTTTGTGATGAAGAGCCCGAGCCTTGGTGTCAAGCCTCAAGTGATTTCGAAGCTTGCCAAAAGGGTACACCTCAAGATATTGAAGATAGTTACATTACTTTGTGTAGTGTAACATTTCACTTGGTGTAGGCCCTAGTGAAGGGTAGTTTCGAGACCCTTCGTGGTTGGGGACAGTGTGGCACTGTTCCACATCACTGTACCTCGGCTCTTGGGGTTTGTAGGAGCTGGGAGTCATTCCCAACTCGTAACTCTTCCTATCTTGTGTTCTAAGACTATAGTGGCTGCCATAGTACCGTTCGTTCAAACCGACGCTGTGTCGTCAATTCTTCATCAAATCGTGCAATCTAAATTGCTAATTGTAGACGACGTGAAGACGCTCCAGATCCAATTTGAATCAAGTCATTTGCAGCTGTGAGCAGAGCGCTATCAACGTTTGAAGCCGCTGTGCAGAAATCCGTCTGTGCTCTCTATCTTTCGTTTTAGGCACATTCAAGCCTATTGTGACTATAACAGGCGGGGACGGGTGGGATTGTGCAGGATGACGAGGTTAGCAGGTACTTGTCCGAGAGGGTGCGGTGCGACGTGACAGCGCTAGAGTACTGGCGCAGTGCCACCAACATGCAGGCGTTGAGGCGCATGGCCCAGGATTATCTCGCCATCCCTGCCACGTCCGCTTCGAGTGAGCGGGTGTTCTCCCTTGGTCGCAACCTCATTTCCTGGAAGCGGCACCGCCTGGCCTCTCAGAGGACGCGATCTGTCATGATTCTCAGATCATGGTACAGTTCACACCCTGGCCAGAGGATTGGCGAGGGCCGCCGACCGAGAGGCGTTGCACCACCAGAGTTCGCCATTGAGGGCGAGGGGGCGGAGGAGGACGAGGAGGAGGAGGAGGAGGGTGTGGAGGCTGACGACACAGCTGGTGGAGTGGATGCTGTTGTTGGTAGTAGCAGTGGCGCCTTAGCGTAGGAATTTGTTTGACATTGACATTTCCCTTCACATAACATGATGTTGTAGTACTTGGTTCGTTGCATGCACACGTATACACCCTGCAAACCTTATGCTATCATCGAGAACCATCAAAATCGTTTTCTGACCTGTGTGACTATATTGATTACCCCCCTGGGCGAACACGAACATGTTCGCCTCGAACATGTTCGTGTTCGTCTGCTGCAGCAAATCGTTCGCCTCCTAGGGCGAACGGCGAACACCATTTTTTGCCCAAGTAGTTCGCCGAACCGAACACTGTTCGGTTCGGCAGAATTAGATGTTCGAGAGGGGGCGAACTCGAACATGTTCGAGTTCTCTCTCTTCTTATCCCTAGTCCATTGTTGCTTTCCATTGTGTACCATTGTTGTCAATCTTTGCTAGTGAAACTCTTGCAAAATCTCCCCGTGAATGTGCAAGCAGAGAACACGCAAGCAAACGACTAAGGAACACAGAAATCACCCTCACAACCGTGCCTATCTCGTAGTCTAGCTCCCGTTGCACTAGTTATCTCCGCAGTCGCATCCATGAAAGTTTGTTGTACGCCTAGCTCTCGAACTTGCGCAATACCCGCGATTTTTAGCCAGCACAGGGCTAAACACAGGGCCCCACGTTATTCGTCCAGTGTGTGGGGTATGTGAAACGTCATAAGACTTTGGTGCGGTAGTTGGGCCCTATCCGGCTACACCCACTTAGCCGTGAAACTCGAAAGGTAGCCGTTTCTTTTGGTAGGTCGTCTTTTTGCCTACTGAAGCCCGTCTTTGAGCCGACCTTCTGCCGGTACTGGCTCATCCCAGGGCCACCTGGCCACGCACATCATCCTGCCTAAGCCCTTCAAGCGCACTGAGTAGCTCGTTGCTGACCTGGCTGCTGAACGGTGGGTAGATGCACCACATTTCATCGCATTGCTGCACTGCCCACCTCAAGGCCACGCATGTCATCCTGCCCCCTCCCCTCAAGCGCACTGAGAAGCTCGTTGCTGCCTTGGCTGCTGGACAGTGGGTGCATGTGCCCCAGCGGTTGCCTCTGCAGGCACGAGGGACGGGGAGTAACATCTTGAATGTCACTCCGGAGAGTAGATTTACTGTGGGGATATGTACAGCGGGAGTATGATCGAGGTGAGTGGGTGAAGCTGCTTGGGATGCTTGTTTGTGACGTGCCTGCTTGCTGTGGATCCGTGCTCTTCGTCCCGCATTCCCCACTGGCTGACCCTTCTCCAATCCCATCCCATCCCATCCCATCCCATCCCATCCCATCCCATCCCATCTCATCCCATCCCATCCCATCCCATCCCATCCCATCTCATCCCATCCCATCCCATCCCATCCCATCCAGTCCCATCTTATCCCATCTTATCCCATATAATCTCATCCCATCCCATCCCATCCCATCCCATCCTATCCCATCTTATCCCATCTTATCCCATCTTATCCCATACAATCTCATCCCATCCCATCTTATCCCATCTTATCCCATACAATCTCATCCCATCCCATCCCATCCCATCCCATCCCATCCCGTCCCATCCCGTCCCATCCCATCCCATCCCATCTCCCATCCCATCCCATCCCATCCCATCCCATCCCATCCCATCCAGTCCCATCTCATCCCATCTTATCCCATACAATCTCATCCCATCCCATCCCATCCCATCCCATCTTATCCCATATCCCATACAATCTCATCCCATCCCATCTTATCCCATCTTATCCCACACAATCTCATCCCATCCCATCCCATCCCATCCCATCCCGTCCCATCCCGTCCCGTCCCGTCCCATCCCATCCCATCTCCCATCCCATCCCATCCCATCCCATCCCATCCCATCCCATCCCATCCTATCCCATCCCTTCCCATCCCATCCCTTCCCATCCCACCCACCCACCCACCCCACCCCACGCCACTGTACCCCATCTCGCCCCATCCCACCCCACCCCAACCCTCCCGATCTCATCCCATCCTATCGCATCCCATCCCGCCCCGCCCGCAGGCCATCTCAGAGGTGCCGCCATCAAGCGAGGCAGGCAGAGTGTATCTGTCGGACTGGGTGATCAACCCGCAGGCATTGCTGTACCAGCAGTTCCAGGCAGCGCTGCTGCTGCTGGCCATCCTCATCGGCATCATCGAGCCCTTCAACTTCGCGTTCCTCCACACCGACAACGTGCTCACGCCCGTCAACGCGTTCATCTATTGCACCGACACGGTGAGTGCTCAGTATAGGGCGTCAGGGCAGCAGGGCAGGCAGGGCGGTTTTCATTGAAAGAGTGGACTGATGCCCTTCTTTGAGGCGATTTCTGGGGCAAGTGGCCATTCGATGCTGCACGTCCACAACACATGAAATGCGTCCATTCTTGTCAACGGCTTTATCTGTTTCCCCCCTTCGCTCCCCCTCACCCCATGCCGCAACAGATGTTTGTTTCCCGAGGGACGTGCTCTTCTCTCCGTCTTAATGCGCGCAGAACCTCTTCTCATGTGCCTCGCCCCGCTCCCCCGCAGGTGTTTCTGAGCGACGTGCTGCTCTCCTTCTTTGTGCCCGAGTTCCGCATGGGCAAGTGGAAGACCAGCCTCGCCAGCATTGCCGTCGAGTAAGCATCTCACTCTCTTTGCTAAGTGCCACTTTCACACCCGCACTGCCACTCACATACACCACTGTCTGAGTGCAATCGTTCACTTTTTATCACCCCTTCCCCGCTCTCTCCTCCCACACGCTCTCTCCTCCCACACGCTCTCTCCTCCTACCCCCCCTCCTTTCAGTTTCGACTACTTTACTCTCTCGCCCTTCCTGCCTTTCCTCTCTTTGCCTCCCCTCCCACCACATGTGTCTACATGACGTGTTTATGCACGAATTCTCACTCCACTCTCCGTTCCCCCTTTCCTCCCCCCCCCCCCTCTCCCCCCCCACGCCTCCTTCCTCAGGTACCTACGGGGCATGTTCTGGTACGACATCCTAGCAGCGCTGCCATGGGATCTGGTGCTCAAGGGCGTGTATCAACCCACCGGCACCGCTGCTGTCGCCCTCTCTGCCTTTGGCCTGCTGCGACTGCTGCGCCTCATCCGCCTGTAGTGCCACACCGAACAAAACACCTTCTCTTACCCTCTCACATCTTCTTCCACTCTCTGACAACTTATCCCACTCTTTCGCACCAGCTCCCACTCTTTCGCACCTGATTCCACTCTTTAGCACCTTCTACCACTGTTTCATACGTTTTCCCACCCTCACACCTACTAGTCTCTGTCACCCTGTCCCACACTATTGTGAATCCAGTGCTCCATGTGCTGCCCACTGCCCTTTTGTATGGTACGATGAGTGATGACTATGTCTGTGCTCCATACCTGCCTTCACTCCCCTGCTCAACCCTCTGCCACCACCCCTCCTCCACCCCTCTCAGCTGGACCGTGTTGTGGGACCTGGCGGTAGACGTGCGCTACGACTACATACATCTCTGCTCTGCTCCCCCCATGCCACCTTCTGAGATAGGATTTTGTGTTGTGTGTGTCTGTGCGTGTGTCTGGACCGTGCTGTGGGACATGGCGGTAGACGTGCGCTACGACTACATCTCTGCTCCTCACCATGCCATCCCTCCTCCTCTGATGACTGCCACAGTCCTCTCTGCTCAACCCCCTCTTCTCTACTCTCAGCTGGAACGTGCTGTGGGACATGGCAGTGGACGTGCAGTACGACTACATCTCCACCAGTGTGCACAAGTTCGCCCTCCTCATCCTCTTCGCCACCCACTGGTCCGCCTGTGTCTTCTTCCTCCTCGCCCGCGTGCGCAACTTCAGTGAGGACACGGTGAGCTGCGTGTGCTGGGCTGCCTATCTGGGCTGTGTGCTGGGCTGCATGAGGGGCTGCATGAGGGGCTGCATGAGGGGCTGCATGCGACGCTCCTCTGCTTGCTCAGCTGTATGCACCCGAAACCCCCCCCTCTCCCTCACATCCCCCCTCTGTCCCTTCCTTCCACTTCACCATCCTCTTACTGTTCCCTCCTGTCACTTGACTACTTTTCCTCCGCGTTATTCCTTTTCCTCCCGCCCCTCATGACCACATTCCCCATCCCATCCCCAGTGGGTGGGGCACTGCGAGCCCGACCTGCCTCTGCGCCCTCCGCTCGACGCCTATGTCACTTCCATCTACTGGTGCGCTGCTGCCTTCTCTCCTCTTTCTCACTCCCCAAGCAATCAACCATTTCTGATGCGTGCTTCCATGCCTGCCACCTCACCTTTGCCTTCTCAACTGCCCGTCTCATCTTCACACTCCAGCTTGCTGGAATAAACCATTGTACTGAGAACCTGTTGCTTGTCCGTTGTCAGTATTCCATCGATTCTCAATCTGCGTGATACCACTTGGGACAGTAAACCACTCATGTGATCGTTTGCCATGGTTTGCTACGTTTTTCTCGTCCATACTTGCGTCAGTGTACCACTCATATGTGATCATGCATCACACTATCTGCATCCGTCTCATCGGTCGTGCCTTTCCGTGTGTGCCTCCCGTGCCCCTTGCCGTCCTCTGCGACGCCCTGCTGGTGCGTACTGCTCTGCCTGCCAGGGCGATGACCACCCTGTGCACCACAGGTACTGCACCACAGGTACTGCACCACAGGTACCGCACCACAGGTATTGCACCATTGGTACTGCACCACAGGTACTACACCACAGGTACTGCACCACAGGTACTGCACCACATTGCAAGTGATTGCATGGGAGCACATGAGAGCACATGAGAGCACGTGAGAGCACATGAGAGCACGTGAGAGCACATGAGAGCACGTGAGAGCACGTGAGAGCACATGAGAGCACGTGAGAGCACATGAGAGCACGTGAGAGCACATGAGAGCACGTGAGAGCAAGTGAGAGCACATGAGAGCACATGAGAGCACGTGAGAGCACATGAGAGCACATGAGAGCACGTGACAGCCCTCCACTCATCCACCAGTTCGATCCCTCCTCAGTTCTCAACAACTCATGAGCTGCTCATTCCAGCTCATGGGGGGAAAGGGGAGGGGTGATGTGTGTGTGCGGGTATGTGTGCTTGTTGAGAGAAATGCAAGTGAAAGGCAGACATATAAGTGGGAAAGGATGGGCTCAACCAAAGCTGAGTTAGGCAGCATGACTGATTGACCAGTAGGTCCAACTTTGTTGGCTGGCTTTTGGGGCACCATGCAAACGGTCATCCCATCCCTCTTCTTGATCCCATCTCCCCTTGGTCTAACTTTTTTATACTTGTGCATGCCTCATCCCCCCCAGGTACATGCGCGTGCATGTGGTGCCGGCCTCACTGCAGGAGCAGGAGCCGGAGCACCTCAGGCTGCACTTCGACACTGCCGAGGTGAGAGGCTAGGGGTATGTGGGGGTGCGGAGGTGAGCGGGGTGTGCTGTATGGGGGTGGGTGCGGATGTGAGTGGGTGCGGATGTGAATGGGTGCGGATGTGAGTGGGTGCAGATGTGAGTGGGGTGGTTATTTGGGCAAGAGCAGGTGCAGTCGCACCTCAACCTGCACTTCGATACTGCAGAGGTGAGAGGGAGGGCATAGCAAGGAGTTCTACGGGGGTTCGTGTGGGGGTGGGTGAGTGGGTGCAGAGGCCAGCGGGATGGTGTGGACTCGAATCTCACTGCCCATCTTTCCAGTGTTGTGAGTGTGTGAATCCATGTCGGCATGCGTATATGCGCCTGTGTGCATGTGTGCATGTGTGTGTGCATGTGTGCATGCAAGCAGGTGAGGGACGATGTGTTGTTGCACTGCCCATCATCCGTGCGCACGCTGGTGAAGCGCCACGTGTACTCGCGCTTCATCAACTCCTCCTACCTCTTCGCCGGCACATCCAACGTCTTCCGCGTGAGTCCCCCGCCTCACCTTGTGCTCATTCCACCCCTGACCTCTCCCCTTGCATGTGGCCCTCCCACTTGCTTCGTCAATTCCTCCTACCTCTTTGCCGGCACCTCTAACATCTTTCGCGTGAGTCAACATCTTCCGCGTGAGTCAACATCTTCCGTGTGAGTCAACGTCTTCCGCGTGAGTCAACATCTTCCGCGTGAGTCAACATCTTCCGCGTGAGTCAATGTCTTCTGTGTGGGTCAACATCTTCCGCGTGAGTCAACGTCTTCCGCGTGAGTCAACATCTTCCGCGTGAGTCAACGTCTTCCGCGTGAGTGAGGGCGCTACCATGCTGCCGCCCTCCCATGCTGCCGCCCTCCCATGCTGCCACCCTCCCATCCCAAGCGCCCATACAACTCACCCCACCCATCTGACACTCCCTGTCTCCCTAGACCATCCATCTGTGTCACCCTTGTGTCTTTCATAATGCCACACGTGAGTTTCTGCACTACACCAAATCCGCTTTTTTCCACCTCATTGCATTCTCTTACTCCCAACCACTCTCATATCCCTTATGGCCCCTACCACTGCACTGCACCCCTCGCCTGCATCCCTGCATTCCCCCATGCGTGCATGAATGTGTGTGTGTGCGCCTACATGACCAAGTAACAACGAGAGCCAATGTGGACTTCTTCCTGCCACACGTGGACCTGGTGGCAGCCGGCAACAGCACCACGGAGCTGCTCATCATTGCCTCGGGGCAGGCGCAGGTGTGTGCTTCATGGCTTCGTGTCGGCACAGCGAGGTGTCGGCACAGCGAGGTGTGGGCACAGCGAGGTGTGGACACAGCGAGATGTGGACACAGCGAGATCTGGGGACAGCGAGGTGTGTTGATGAAGTAACTCAGGTGCAGGAAATGAGGGCAGGAGGTCAGGAGGACAGGAGGGCAGGAGGACAGGAGGACAGGAGGACAGGAGGACATGAGGACAGGAGGACAGGAGGACAGGAGGACAGGAGGACAGGGGGACAGGTGGACAGGGGGACAGGGGGATAGGAGGACAGAGGGACAGGAGGACAGGAGGACAGGGGGACATGAGGACAGCAACGCGATGCAGACTTCACTCTCCTCACAACCTCGCATTTTTCCTGGCTCTCTAGTTCTTTTCCACTCTCACATTCTTTCACCCTCCCTCCCTCACTCACTCCCTCACTCTTGCTCTCCCTTGCCCAGGTGCTAGTGCGTGACAAAAATGGCAATGAGATGCAGTGGTTCGTGCTGCACGAGGGGGACTGCGTGGTAGGTGAGTGGGGGGCGTACGAGTTTTGGCAAGCTTTAGGGGACGTGGTGAGAGCAAGCGAAAGGAGTGCAATGGGGGGGAGGGCGAAGGAGGATCTGGGGCGGGTCGTCTCTAAGCCGACTGAGTCATCACGTGCTCCCATTCCTATCCTCAACCCTCTCCACTGTCAGAATATTATCCTGGTTTGTAACCTGCATCTATCCTATAAGCTTCAGTTTGAGATAGACACCCAAACTCAGTTTCGGTGTACAACTAGGGCTAACCCTAGTTGGTGGTTGGAACTCAACCTTGGCCTCATTTAGTTGACCCCCAAGGTTGGGTTGGGTGATTATTGGTCCCTCCAATAATGTTGACTCACTTTGGTCAACATTATTGGACAACCCCCCAATAATCCTCAACCCAACTTATTGGTGGGGGCTAGGGATGAGCAAGGGGCGGTTCGTGTTCGCCCCTACACGAACACATCCGTTTGCCGAACCGAACACTGTTCGGTTCGGCGAACACTTTAAGAAAAAACAGGTGTTCGCCGTTCGCCTGTGAAGGCGTATTCGGGCGAACCTCGAACACGTTAGTGTTCGTCGCGGGGCAAATTGCAGCAGCGGCCCGAACACGAACATTGTTGTGTGATGCAATCATATGCATTCACGTCTGTCTGCCTCCCATCATGTGTTCGTGCGTCGCATGCGTGGTATGAGCGTATGCAAGAATTTGTGTTTTGTGCGGTTTGGTTTTTTCTGAGTGTGTGTGAATGTTATTTGGCTTGAGCAGATATCTGAAGTGACTCCTCTGCTCAAGAGCTTTCCGACGAACCAAGGATCGCTTCAATCGGAGCACGAACAAGAAAGTTACGAACGTTGGAAGTTCGTATGCTCTTGATATTTGGTTGTGGTGACTATGGGAAGTTGTGGTGTTGACTCCATAAGGAGTACAGACTCTTGGGGTTTGGGAAATTCGTCAACATCACTGTAGATGCTGCCAAGTGGTTGGGAGGTGCCAAACCAGGTTGGCAAGTGTGGTCAAGTTGGGTGAGGTGGATGGCATGAGTTGGGAAAGTGACAAATGTCAAAGTTGGGGTGCCTATAGAGAGGGGAATTGTGTGGTATGGGGTGTCCTTGGTTGGGGACTCCCTTGGGACCTTCCCTCTCGTCCTCCTCATCCCCTCCTACCTGGTTCTATTGCTACTCTAACTTTCTTGTGTGAACTTGTGAGATAATTGTGATTGAGTTACGTTTTCTATGGCAGCATATCCCCTAGTGCGCCGAAGTTCATAACTCGAGTTATACTCCATATTTTGATACTATTCAAATTGGGAAAGATAGCCACGGTCAAGGGCTACAACATACTCGAGTTTGAAAGAATTATAATTGTGCGTTAATCGTTGACGACGTTTCTTGTGAGGACGACCTTTCTGTCCAGAATTGTAGTTGACGATTTTGAGATATTTCAGCCCCTAATCTTCATAGACTCCGTCCTTAGTCTCTAACAAGTGGTATCAGAGCTGATTAAGGACTTTGTGGAGAGTCTACTGAAGTGTGAAGACCCTCCTAGACCCACCATGGCCTGTGGGCGTGCCTAAGTGGAGTTCTGGAGGTTGCATGTGACTTCCGCTAAGGGGAAACTCTGCCTAAATTTCGTTGGCGCCGACACTTGTGGAAATTGAGTGGGACTTCGGTGTGGACAGCAAGGGGGGAGCTGGAACCTGTGCTTGGGAGCAGAGGAAATGAGTCAAGGGAGTGGAGATGCAGATGAGAAGAGGAATGAGCCGCCACCATCCAAGATCGAGGCATTGGATGGCTCCAACTATGAGGAATGGAGCGGGCGGATGCGGAGTGCATTTAAGCGCTACAAGCTGCTGAAACTTGCGATGGGAGAAGAGAAGATGCCGGAGGAAGGCGACGCCCGCGATCGGTGGATTGAGAAAAGCGCGGTGCTGTACGACCTAATCCTTCAATCGGTCAACAACGACATGTTCCAACACATCAAGGATTTGGTGGAGTTAAATGATTCCGGACCAAAGGCGTGGAAGCTACTGCGCGACGTGATTCAGCCCAACACGATGCCGATGTTGATTGTGTTGGAGAAGGAGCTGGCTGCCCTCTCCATGCGACCGGGCGATGATGTAAAGCCGGTCCTTGACAAGATCAAGGACACCTATGCGAGGATGGCAGCGGCGGGCAGCAATGTGTCGCAGATGCAGCAGTGCACCAAGATTATCTCGGTGCTCGACAACTCATGGGACAACCTCATCCCCACCCTCAACACTCAGCAGGACCAGTGGACACCTGAGTGGCTACGGCAGCAGATTCTGCAGGAGGACTTCCGCAGGCGCCACACGGGTGGTGGTGCTGCCAACAAAACTGCTGAGGGGTATGGAGCTGCAGGAGGCAGCAGAGGAAGAGGGGGAGGGAGAGGCCGAGGCCGTGGGAGAGGCTTTGGCAGAGGGAGAGGCCGAGGTGACTAAAATGAGGGGCATGGAAGCTCTGGTGGCAGGGGGAGCACCCGAATGGAGGGTGCGTGCTGGTACTGCAAGAAGGCTGGACACCCTTGGTTCAAGTGTTTCAGCCGGCCTGAGGGATGGGCGCCCCCAGGCATGAAGCCGCCAAGTGGTGAACGTGCACGAGGTGGCGCTGTGCAAGGTTCAGGTGCACAAGGTGATGGTGCACAAGATAAAGCCAACCCTGGGATGTTCCTCATGGTTGAGGATGTGAAAGGGAGTGAGGGTGATGTGGGCTCAGTTGGGAAGGTTGTGATGCACCCCCTCACTCACTGGGTGATAGATTCAGGTTGCACAAGTCACATGACCCCACGGGCAGATTTGCTTGACGAGGTAAAGCCCCCTGGGAAGATCAAGTTTGTGGCTGCCGCTTCAGGTGCTTTGCTCCCTGTGATTGGTGTTGGGAATGCTAAGATAATGGGAGCCAATGGGGGCCTTGTGGGGCTGGGGAATGTACTGCTGGTTGAAGGTTTGTCCGCTAACCTCCTCTCTGTGCGCCGGCTGCAGAAAAGCAAGGCCAAAGTGACCTTCGGCCCAACCAGCTGCCGTGCAAAGCTTGGGAAATTGCTGCTGTGGGATTTGGAGGAGAAGAGCAGCTGCATCAAGGACCTATGGCAGCTGCCCATCATCCCTTGGAATGGGAAACCACCAGCAACGGCAGCGGCAGCAGCAACGGCTAAAACAACTGCGGGATGAGAGGAGACTGCACCAACCGATGGGGCCCTAGATGCAGTCAAGAAGGTGCAGCAGTCACAGCAGCCACATGGTGAGGTGCTTGCTGGTGTGGATGCAACCGCTGCATGGGCAAAGGCTTCATCTGGGAATGGTGATGCCGATTGGGAGACGTGGCACGAGAGGTTGTGTCACATCAACATTCCTATGCTGCAGAAGTTAGTGAAGGATGGGAGCTTGAAGGGGTTGGAGGTGAAGGGGGCAGCAAAAGAGATTGGGAGCTGCCCTACATGCCTTGAGACCAAGTTCACAAAGTTTCCGTTCAGCAGCGGCACGGGACCAGCTAAGGCCCCGCTCGCACTTGTGCACATGGATGTGGTGGGCCCTACGAGGGCCCCTCTTCTCTCGGGCAGCCGCTACTTCTTAACCATTGTGGATGACCACACACGTGCAGTGTGGGTGTACCCTCTCAAGACTAAGGGGGAAGTGGCAGCGGCTGTTCTTAAGGAGTGGATGCCGAGAGCTCAAAGGGAGAGCGGACACAAGGTGAAGGTGATCCGCACTGACAACGGGGGAGAATTCATTGGCGCTGACTTTGAGGCAGTGCTGAAGAAGAAGGGGATCCAGCATCAGCTCACAGTGCCCTACAACCCTCAGCAGAACGGCGTGGCTGAGCGGTTCAACCGGACCCTGCAAGAAGGTGCTCGCACTCTCCTTGGGCGTGCAGGGCTGCCGGATCCGTTTTGGGTGACTGCACTGCGGCAGGTCGCCCTTGTGAAGAACAGGGTGTTGGCGACTGTGGGGGACAAGCAGTGGGTCCCCTACACTAAGTGGTATGGGAGTGCACCAGCAGTCAACATGCTGAGAGCCTACGGCTGCATGGTGGTGTTTCATGTGCCTAAGGAGAAGAGGGGAAAGTTGGAGGCTAGTGGGAGATGGGGAGTACACTTGGGGCTTGCTAAGGATCATAAGGGCTGGTTGATATGGGACTTGACCAGCCAGCAGCTGACTGTGTCAAGGGATGTGAAGTTCCTTGAGTCCTTGTACTACAAGGAGTGGAAGCAGCAGCAGCAGAAGCTTCCTACTACACCGCTGATCATTGAGGCCGATGAGGTGCAGCGGCCTTCGAGGCAAGTGCAGGTCACTGTCTCAGAGGAGGAGATTTCTGGGGTGACTGAGGATGGGGGAGAACCTGAGGTGGAGGAGCAGCAGCAGCAGCAGCAAGATGCTCCACAAGGTGCCGCACGTCCGGCTGACCGTCCTAGGAGGGATGTGCGCCCTCCTAACCGGCTGACCTATCCGAGCTTTGGCAAGCCAAAGGTGGTACGGGCTGGGAGTGTGGCTGAGCAGTGTGATGAGGAAGAGATAGCACACTGCTACTGGGCAGCCGTCCCTGAGCCCAAGACGCTAGCTGAGGCCTTGAGTGGGCCCGATGCTGAGAAGTGGAAGCAGAGTGTGAAGGAGGAGTATGACTCTCTACTGGAGAATGAAACGTGGGAGCTGTGTGAGCTGCCTCCTGGGAAGAAGGCCATTTCTTCCAAGCTGATCTTCAGGCACAAGTACGGACCTGATGGGGAGCTGACCCGCTACAAGTCAAGGCTTGTGGCAAAGGGGTTTCAGCAGACAAAGGGGAAGGACTTTGACGAGATCTTTGCTCCTGTGGGGAAAGGGACTACACTAAGGGTGATGTTGGGAATGGCTGCAAACCGTGGATGGAGGATCAAGCAGATGGATATCACAACTGCTTTCCTCAATGGGATCATCCTACAGGAGCTGTACATGCTGCAGCCTGAGGGGTTGGATGATGGGAGCGGCAGGGTGTGCAGGCTCAAGAAGGCCATCTATGGCCTTAAGCAGGCTCCTCGCGCATGGTACCACAAGTTGGAGGAGACACTGCTGGCTGGGGGTTTCAAGAAGAGTGAGTGTGATCACAGTTTGTTCCTGCTGCAAGAGAAGGAGCAGTTTCTCATGCTCCTGGTGTATGTGGACGACATCCTGCTCTTCTCTAAGTCGTCTGCAATGATTGAGCATGTGGAGGAGATGCTGGAGATGCAGTTTAAGTGCTCCAAGATGGGAGATGTGAAGTACTATTTGGGCATGCATGTGGAGAGGGACCTTGACAAGGGAGTGTTGAGGTTGAACCAGAGAAAGTATTGTGAGGGGCTGGCTGAGAAGTATGGGCTGCAAGATGGAGGAAAGCCAGCCACCCCACTGCCTTCGGGGTTCACTGTGGAGCCCTGTGCTGATGAGGAGGTGGTGGGTGAGAGTGACAGGAAGCTGTTTCATTCCATGGTGGGGGCACTCAATTATGCGGCTAACCACACGCGGCCTGACATTGCCTTTGCTACATCCAGGCTTGCAAGTGTGGTTTCACGCCCCAGTCATGAGCAGCTAGAAGCGGCCAAGAGGTTGGTCCGCTATGTGAGCGCTACGGCATCAGTGGGCTTGGAGTAAAGTGCTGTGCGACAGAGGCTGCAGAGGGGTGCAGCTGATTTGGGCAAGGGGGAGATGCTCCTGACCTGCTACACCGACGCTAGCTTCAACTCTGTGAAGGCGGATGGCACCAGCATTGGAGGCTATGTGTGCCTGTTTGGAGGTGGTGCAGTGAGCTGGCGCAGCAAGAAGCAGAACGAGGTGGGGCAGTCCTCGTGTGAGACAGAGTACATGGCTCTGCATCATGGGGCAAAGGAGGTGGTGTGGCTGAGGCGTTTGTTGGAGGAGATCGGAGTGTGCCAGAAGGAGCCAACTGTGATTTTCCGTAACAACGAGTCGGCTGTGAAGCTTGCTAAGAACGCTTGCCTTCATGGGCTGACGAAGCACATCAGGCCTAAGTGGCATTGGGTGAGGAGGCTCCTGGACAAGGAGGTGCGGCTGGAGATTGTGAAGACCCATCAGCAGGCGGCTGACATTCTCACCAAGCGCCTGGCTGAATCTGAGCATTGGAAGGGCATGAAGCTTGCTGGGATGAGTGTGCATTGAGGGTGCATGCTTGAGCTATGACATGTGGGATGATGGTTGGCAGCCAGAGGGGGAGTTTGTTGTGTGATGCAATCATATGCATTCACGTCTGTCTGCCTCCCATCATGTGTTCGTGCGTCGCATGCGTGGTGTGAGCGTATGCAAGAATTTGTGTTTTGTGCGGTTTGGTTTTTTCTGAGTGTGTGTGAATGTTATTTGGCTTGAGCAGATATCTGAAGTGACTCCTCTGCTCAAGAGCTTTCCGACGAACCAAGTATTGCTTCAATCGGAGCACGAACAAGAAAGTTACGAGCGTTGGAAGTTCGTATGCTTTTGATATTTGGTTCTGGTGACTATGGGAAGTTGTGGTGTTGACTCCATAAGGAGTACAGAATCTTGGGGTTTGGGAAATTCGTCAACATCACTGTAGATGCTGCCAAGTGGTTGGGAGGTGCCAAACCAGGTTGTCAAGTGTGGTCAAGTTGGGTGAGGTGGATGGCATGAGTTGGGAAAGTGACAAATGTCAAAGTTGGGGTGCCTATAGAGAGGGGAATTGTGTGGTATGGGGTGTCCTTGGTTGGGGACTCCCTTGGGACCTTCCCTCTCGTCCTCCTCATCCCCTCCTACCTGGTTCTATTGCTACTCTAACTTTCTTGTGTGAACTTGTGAGATAATTGTGATTGAGTTACGTTTTCTATGGCAGCATACCCCCTAGTGCGCCGAAGTTCATAACTCGAGTTATACTCCATATTTTGATACTATTCAAATTGGGAAAGATAGCCACGGTCAAGGGCTACAACATACTCGAGTTTGAAAGAATTCTAACTGTGGACCTTTCGTCGACGACGTTTCTTGTGACGACGACTTTTCTGTCCAGAATTGTAGTTGACGATTTTGAGATATTTCAGCCCCTAATCTTCATAGACTCCGTCCTTAGCCTCTAACAAACATGTTCGGGCGAACCTCGAACATTGTTTGGCGAACAGAGGCGAACCGAACAGGTGTTCGCCCTTGTGCTCATGTCTAGTGGGGGCCAATAATGTTGGCAAGCATCCCAGCCAACCAAGCCCCCCCTCCTTTGGCACAACTATGCATACCTCATGTTTCTCTAATTCTATTATCCGTTTCTCTTCAAACTATGTTTCTCACATCCACCCCTTCTCCCACCCAACTCACAAATCGCTTCCTCTGCAATCTAACAGAGTTGTGTGGACAATGCGTTTTTTTTATTCATTTTCTCCTCTTTCCTTTCCTATTTGGTGGACCCTCGCCGTATCACCCCACTCCCCACCCGACTCAGAGGATCCCTTTACTGTGCGACTTGACGGAGCTGTGGATGGTGCACACGCTGTCAGTGTGGTATCAAAGCAAGGCTTAGGCCTCATACGTTGCCCCTATCCTTCCCTCTGCCCGCCACTGGCACTGCACACTTTCAAAGATCCCCTTTTTGTGCTGTATCCTTTCTTGACAAAGCTGTGGACAGTGCGAACGCTGTCTACTCTGTTTGACCCTGCCCCCAATGCTAGAGCCTCATGTGCTGCCCTGCCCCCAATGCTAGAGCCTCATGTGCTGCCCTGCCCCCAATGCTAGAGCCTCATGTGCTGCCCTGCCCCCAATGCTAGAGCCTCATGTGCTGCCCTGCCCCCAATGCTAGAGCCTCATGTGCTGCCCTGCCCCCAATGCTAGAGCCTCATGTGCTGCCCTGCCCCCAATGCTAGAGCCTCATGTGCTGCCCTGCCCCCAATGCTAGAGCCTCATGTGCTGCCCTACCCCCATCCGACCCTCTCTGGATCCACCAGAGATCGCCTTCTAGTGTGACCTCACAGAGCTGTGGATGGTGCGCACGCTGTCGGTGTGTTGGGAGCTCTCCATCTCATGAGACGACTACCGCTCCGTGGCTCGCACGCACCCCGCTGACGACCGCCACGTCATTGCCAACCTGCTCAACCAGTGGGTGCTGTACCCATCCACGCCTCACCCACCACACCCTTCCTCATTCATCTCCTCTCAAGGTTCACAGCAGGGCAGAGGCAGCAGTGTGCTTCTACACCACGCCTTGCTGTGATCACCACGTGCCATCCCCCATCCACTCCTGGCGCTCTTGCTCACCGCGCAAGGCATGCAGCTAAGCGAAGGCCACAGCATGCCCTTTACCCCTTACGTAACCCCCCCTGCCGTCGACTCTCCATCTCCTCCGCATTCATGACTTGTGCAGGGCGCGCAGCAGGGCGGAGGCGACAGCACCGTTCTACCCCGGCAACAGCACCATGGCTGAACTATCTCTGCTGCTCAAGAACGAGGTCGAGATGAGGTGGTGGGGTGTGCAGGAGACGCTGATGAACCTGTGCTACGCGGCGAAAGGGTGTCATGCTTGAGTCCCCCCTCATCATCCCCCCTCCCCGCCCTCCTCCACTCCCCGCTGCCATCTCCCCTCTCCCACCTGCCAGTCGTTCCGCAAGCAGCTGGTGCAGGAGACGCTGATGAACCTCTGTGGCAACCCTTGCACAGTCAGCTCCGTTGCTGCAGCAAGTGTCCGTTTCCTGCTGCTTTTCAATTCCCTCACCCCCATCTTTCCACACACTGCCTGCGCATTCTAGAGTCTTAAGCCCCATCCCCTCCCCCATCCACCACCCTGACCCACCTCTCCCCGCCCGCCAGTCCAGTCCTTCTGCAACCGTCTGGTGCAGGAGACGCTGATGGACCTGTGCTACGCCACCCAAAGGGGTACATTCTAGAGTCGAACCCCAACTCTTTCCTTCCACCCCGCTCCCCTCTCCCTTTCCCTCTCAGTCGTTCCGCAACCGTCTGGTGCAGGAGACGCTGATGAACCTGTGCTACGCGGCCAAGCGTGGCGACATGCTGGAGTGCTTCCGCCTCGCTGCTGGCGGCTTTGATGTGGCGGCCGCTGACTACGATGGCCGCACTCCCATGGTGAGATGAGAGCAGAAAGAGAGGGGGAGTTGTTTCTTTGGCTAGCTAACCAGGTTCCTCCCCTAACGAGCTGGGCTGAGTTGCTGAGCCTGATTGAGATGACACGGCAGGACACCCATGGTGGGCCGCACACCCATGGTGAGATGAGTGCAGCATCAGCGGTCTCGTTGGCTAACTGGGGAGCACTCCTGGTGAGCTGGGCTGAGTGTGATGGCCGGGCGGCAATGGTGGTGCACCTCTGACCTCCTTCCTGCTCCCGCCCTGCTCTGCTCTGCGGTACCATGTGTAGTGTGCCCTCTTTGCCCCTCACGTGCTTGCACTCCACTTCTCTGTTCCCTTCTCTTGCTCTCCCCTACTTCTCCGCCTCCTATCTTTCACTACTCCCCTTCTCTCTCCAACGCTGCGTTCTTCCCCCCTTCGCCCCCCCCTTACCCCCCACATCTTCCCCCAGCCACCAGGGAATGACCCAGCCGCGCAATCACCGGAAGCACACGTGCCACCTCGCCTGCTCCACCACCACTGCAACCCACCGGCACGCCTTTCACTCCCCCTCCCTTCTCCCCCTCCAGTCCTGCAGGTGAGGCCCATCCGTGCACTCATGCGCACTCAAGGCACTCAACGCTCTGGCATGTGAGGACTTATCAATACCTTGCGGTGGAAGGGACGGGAAGGGATGTCAAGGCCTGCCAACTCCCACCAGCTGCCTTGGATGTTCGAGCTGCTTCACTCTCCTTTCACTCCACTCGCACTCTCCCCTCTCCTCTCCCCCTCTCCTCTCCCCCCATCCAGTCTCCCTCACCAAGGTTCACATGTGAGCTCCAACATGCATCCAGAGAAACACTCTTCTGCGCCTCCCATCCCAGCCCAGCCAGCTCCTTCTAGACGTCGCAGGAGATGTGTTGGTGGGCCAAGCTCCTCCCCTTCCCCCCTTCCTCCTTCTTTCGCCTTCTAGTTTCCCTCCAGCAGCACAGCTGACCTCCACCTTGCAGCCACTGAAGAGCTCTTTGGCACAGCCCAGCCAGCCCTTTCTGGGGCATCCCAGAAGTGGTGCTGCGTAACAGCCCCACCGACCAGCCCAACTGGCCCAGCTTCCAATGCTCGCAAACCTCTACCCGCCCCCCCCCATCCCCATGCAGCAACGGAGGCGAGCTGCATCTGCGCAACCAGAGCACACACCTGTGCCGCCTCGCCAGCTCATCCAACTCACACCAGCTGGCCCAGTTGCCAAACCTCGCACAACCCTACGCTCCCCCTCTCCAACCCACCTCTTCCCCTGTCCCTTCTCTTTCTCTCCATCTCTCTTCCTCTCACCCTGTCCCATTCTCCCTGCTCCCCCTCCTCTCCCCCTATCCCTGCAAAAACGGCGGCGAGCTGCATCTGCGCAACCAGGGCACGCATCTGTGCCGCCTGGCCAGCTCGTCCAACTCGCACCAGCTGGTGCGGCTGCTGGAGTTTGGCACCGACCCCAACTCCGCTGACTACGACGGCCGCACCGCGCTGCACGTGGCTGCTGCTGAGGGGCACCTCAACGTGGTCAAGGTGGGTCTGTTGAAGGCAACGGGGGTCATGCATGGAAGTCGAGGTGGTCATGCATGGAAGTCGAGGTGGTCATGCATGGAAGTCGAGGTGGTCATGCATGGAAGTCGAGGTGGTCATGCATGGAAGTCGAGGTGGTCACGGTCAATTTGTCGCCGAACCCCAACGCTGCTGACTCCGACGGGCGCATGGTGCCGCATGCTGCTGCTGAGGGGTACCTTGACGTGGTCAAGAAGGGTCAAGCATGGTGCTGCACATGGGAAGGGGAGGGGGAGATAACCAGGGTCTGGGGGACACCCCATGCAACAGATATGGCACCTCTTCATTCCGGAAACCCCAACCTCCAACTCTCAGGTTCTGCTGCAAGGGGGGGCGAGCCCGAGTGTGAGGGACCGGTGGCATCGCACGCCCATGGACGAGGCGAGGGACAACAACCACACCGTGGTGGTCGCCACTCTGCTGCGCGCCGCTGCCTCCGCCACCCCCACTCCCAGCCCGCGCTCCCCCACCCCTCCCCCTTCTGCTCCTGCTTTTGCTGCTCCTGCTCCTGCTTCTGCTGCTCCTGCTCCTGCTGCTCCTTTTCCAGCTGCTGGTTCTCCTGCAAATGCTCCTGCTGCTTCTGCTGCTGCTGCGTCATCCCATGCCAACCCGATTCCTCCTCCTCGTGCTCATCCTCCGTCTCCTGCCACTCCTTCTGCTGTGGCCTCTATTGTTGCACCTTTCTCCCCCACGGCGCCCTCTCCCCCTCCTACTACCGCCTCGCCACTAGCCCTTTCTCCCATTCCTTCTGGCACGGCCGCACTTGCATCAGAGGCAAAGGCAAGGGTTGTGCTGCCAAGTCAAGCCACTGAGAGACAACCAGCAGCACATGCACCAATTCTCCAACCTCCTGCCATGCCTGCGCGACCTCCTGATGCTTCTGCTGTAGATTCCAACAGTTGTACCAGTAGCAGTAGTAGTAGTGCTGCCAGTAGGGGTAGGGGGAGTGGTGGCGGGGTTGAGCTTGCTTCAACTGACGCGGCTGCCCCCATTCGTGAATTGTGCAAGCAAAAAGGGGATGTGGGAGGGTACAGTGTGGCAGGTGGTACTGATGCATTGTCAGTGGTACTGGCAGCTGCAATGGCTGCAACAACGGACATTGCTGTAAGAGGTGGAGGGTACTTTGGTGCCAGGGAGTAAGGTAGCTCTGCAAGACTAACAGCGACGCTGTCGCCAGATAAGAGTGGTGGGCAGAAGAGCAACAGCACACGCAGCTCTCCTAGCGTTGTGACTGAGGCAAGACTGATACCGTATTGCCACTATGGTTTGTAAATTATTGTGGTGTGACCAACTAGAGACACGCAGCACTGTAAATTACAGTCAAGAACCCCAATATCCTTGCGGCAGTGAAAATTGCTAGAAAACTAGTGCAATCTCATACCCTCTATGGTGCAACCTTATTGGTGTGAATGGGGTCATTCTGAGAGGGGTAGATATATGCATAAATACCCTGCTGTGTCACTTCTTCAGTATCATTCTATCATTCACTGATCACTCTACGGTACTTGAAATGCAAGGTTTTCATCTTGTTTTTTTCCACAAGCACGTTTCCGCTATGCTGGCACTACGGTATGCCTTCCTAGCAAGGGGCAGCGTCAAGACGAGAGAAACAACTTAGTGCGGCACTATTGACCAGCCTCTGAGGCAAGGGGCCATAACGCCAGTCAGCAAGAACAACAAGGTGTATGAGGTAGCTGTCAGATTGAAAGAATTATGACTACCGTAGAATGAGAACGTGCTATTATATGCAAACCTGTACTCTGAATGGTGCAACCCTAGCTACACCGACACATATATAAAATGTGTAATTTGACACACCCCCTAGGTTAGGTAAGGGGCAGCACCAAGATGAAGTGAAAACAACTCAAGGTGGCACTGCTAGTCGAGCCTCTGAGACAAGCGGCCACATTGCAGTCAACAAGAACAAGAGAGTACATTAGCGCTACTACTAGCCCAGCCTTTGAGACAAGGGGCCACATGGCCAACCAATGATATATGGACAAACCATTAAATAGAGTACAAGATACCGCATGGCCGCGGATATAAGCACCGGCCTATATTAGGTGCATGCGCTTCTATCTGGAGCAATGCTTATATGGTCGATCCTCGATTATAAGCGCACCTCCTAAAAAAACCTGATTTATTATAAGCGCATCTTATTTTTTAATATGAAAATGTGTTAAAATACTAGAACGCCTTTCACTTTAGCAAGCTGATGTGTTGCGAATCCGGTTATGTCGTGTTCGAACCCTGCACAGGCTGTAAGTCCAGTCAGGGACGCCTTGTGAGTCACATCGACTGTATCTGCCAACGTGCGAGAATTTTACTCACAACCCCATGTAAATTCTACTCGATTGAAATGGCAACCACAAGATCTACAGTTTGGTGTTCAATAATTAACAATGTATATTTGTAACTTTATTAGCACATGTGCTTATAATTCTACTCAATTAAAAGCACGCCCCCTGAAAAAACCATGTTTTATTATAAGCACAGGTGCACTTATATCTGGACCATTCGGTACATCAACCAGGATCCTGCCAAGTAAGGCAAGCTGGGACAAGGCCAAGCTGTGTGCAGAGCTGCTCTGGAGTGTCCGGGTGAAGATATCAGCAGCGTTGGCCATTGAGACCAGGTGAACCACTCGTGCCTGACCGCGCCGCTGCAACTGATGCAGCAGAAACTACCGCAACCGGATGTGCTTCGCTTTGCCCTCCAGTCTAGACTCCTGACATAGAATGATCATGGCCTTGCAATCAACGAACAGGGCCAGGGTAGAGAGAGGCGGCTCACCTAAGTCAGTGGGCAAGAACGTTGTCTAGCGGAGCGCCTGAGCAGCCATAGAATCAGGGTAGATCTTAGCCTCACAAGTGGACGAAGCTACCAATGATGAGCCTGACAAACTATACATATCTAGGTGTGCGATTTGTGCTAGGTTGGATTAGGGTTAGCTATATCTCCTATTGTGTACACTCTTCCCACTTATTCTTGTTCTCACACAGCTCTAACATGGTATCAGAGCCATGACTGCTAGCCTTGGCCCACGGTTGTTTACTATGATTGCAAGTGATTTGCATGTGGCTTTGTACTCTCCCCCTGCTATGTATGCTGATGACTTTAGTATTGCTAGATCTTATTGTTCGTGTGTGCCAATCCTAGGATCGTACATGATGCTAGTGTGCGATCTCGTAGTGTAGGACCTGTTTCTCTAGCTTGCATAGGTGCGACTACTGCTAACACGCTTGACCCTGGTGCATCTCGGTGCTTCTTTTGTGATCACACAGGTTCAGGAACCTCCCCAACACCAAAACGGATATCGACCTCAGATTCAGACTAGGAGCAGGAACCCACTCGTCATCCTAGCTCCTCCGAGATTGCAGCTAGCCACGCAGGAGAGTATCCACAACCAGAGAAGAACCCTTCAAACTCTGAGCCAGCAGCAATGGCCTTCGTGGCCCCAACTTTCCGCCCGTTAGGCAGCGAAACCTGTCAAACCCTAGGTCGCCTAGGCAGGTTCCCTCTACTCGACTCAGTTTTGTTTCCAGGCAAGTTGCTGCTTTTCTTCTTCCTTTTTCTAACACTTTGTGTTTTCTCTCCCCTACACCCCACTTCGACCCCACTCAAGCAGGACTTTGACCCCCTCTCAGCCCCCTTCTCATCTCTCTCAACCGTTGAAGTTTACCCTGCTCAACGTTCCACGGTTGGACATCCTCTCGTCTTCAGCCCCCCAGGACAACATTCCCGCCAGGTAAGTTTTTCCGATCCTGCAGAAGCTCCGTTCCCTCGCCGTAAATCCCTGCACAAACCCTCGCGTTATCCTGCCAACGCACTCCTTCCACGCCACCCAATCCACCACGGGAACTCCCACACTCCCCCTTTTGCTCCCCCTTCTTCCAGGAGGACCCTTGTTTGTGCAAGTTCGAAGCCCACGCCAACTGATCGCCCTCCCCCGACCAACCTTACAACAATCACGAAGGATAGCTTGTCAGCCCACACTACAGGCTGCTGGCTAACCTTACCCCCGCTTTCCCTCCCTCTTACCAGGCGGGATCCACTCGCTCCCACGTAACGCCATCTCCGGCTCCTCGACTCCTTCTCCTCTCCCTACCGTGCCTCGGCCCTCATGGCGCCTTTGACCTCAACTCTGTTCCCGCGTTCTGCCAGCTTGGTGCTGCCATCCTACGTTTCCCTCCCTGGCCACCTCCGGCCGTGCCACTAATACGGCTTGGAAGCTCGGCGCGCCACCTAGGCCGCCATTTTCACTTCTCGCTCGGATGCGTCTGGACCCTCGTAAGGTCCCGGGTTTCAGGAAGCCGACTAGGCTCCCAGCCCCGTTTCATGGCCTTAATCCCGTCGCCACAGCACCGTAATTACCGTAACCTCTCTGTCCTCCCCGCTCTCCCCGTCCACCCCCTTCCCGTTGGCTCTCCGCACACACCCCGCCCACGTTTCTTCTTGGGACCCTTGCGCTCACGGTCCCTTGCTTATCAGGAGCTCATGCTGCCCGTTTTGCCTATTGCCCCTTCATCCCCTCACGGGGCCTCGCTCTCCCGCTCTACATATAATGGACCTTTGTCTTCTTCTTGCATTCACTTCACAATCTACAACCCCCCACGCTTCTCCTACTCATCCTGCACCATGGCTGCACAGATCTACAACCCCGACCACACCATGTCCGCTGCCGAAGAGGAGGCCCTCGGTGCCTCTAGGGATGACCTTGCTGTGGACGATCTGCCCGAAGGCATGTTCCACCACCTCGCAGATCCCGCTGACCTCCCTGCTGCAAAGAAGTCGTGTATGGTTCCTGACGCCAGTCCCGCCCCCAATCCTTCCCCCGCCACCTCCTCCGGTTCGGTCCCGGCGCTCCCTGCACACTCTCCCGTGCCCCTCACTATCGCCGCTCTCTCTGCGCCCTTGTTTGGCCTGGCACCGTCGCTGGTTGCAACTGCAGCATCTCCCAACAGCCCGGTAACCCGCGCAACCACATACGCGTCCGTCGCCTCAGGCTCCAACCTGGCTCCCGCGCTGCCCGCCTCGCTCTTCGCCTCGCCCACCCCGGGCGGCGCCCCCCGTAATCTGCGGCGCGCGCGCACGGATGCTGCTGTCCCGTTGCCTTTCCGCATGTGCCGCCGCATGGTAGTCAATGTTCTCCTCCCGAAAGCCGGGCTGGAGTCTCACCGCTCTGAAATTTTCGCTGGCATCAATGCGCAGGTGTGTGGCTTTATGTTCTCATCTGGCATTATCCCTTCCTTCGAGCAGACCATTGGGGACCCCTACCGTGTGGCCCGCCAGGTGTATGGCCGCCTGCTCTTCTCATGGCCGTCGCAGGACGATGCGGCGGCCTTCCGAAAGCTCTTCCCCCTCACCCTCAAAGTCTCCAACTCCCACCCCTTTCTGCTTAAGGTTTTCGAAGACACGCTCGAGGCCTTCACCGCTGCCAAGGCAGCCGGTGCACCTACCTTATCTATTCGCAATGTCCCTCTGGATTTCGATCCAGAGGGCATCCGCACTTATCTCCTCAGCTCCACCGAGTCGGATGGCTCGCGCTAGCTGGCGGATTTGACGGACTTCCACCGCGCTTCGGATCCTTACGAGGACACGTATTTCACTCACCTTGCAGGGCTTCCCATCGCCACCCTCGACGACCCCAACTTCGAGCGCATCCCATCCGAAATCCCGCTGGAGGATAACAAACCTCCCATGCTGCTCAACGTTTCCTGTCATGTATGCTCACTGTGTGCCAACAACCACCGCGCGTCTGATCACGAGGCTTTCCGGCAGCGCCTCACGAACCGGAACGTGATCTCAGTCGCGCAGCTGCAGAAGGCAAATGGTATGCTCCTCGATAATCTCTCCCAGCTATGCTACCTCACCTTCTCCTTGCCTTACCGCTCTGGTCCCCGCGTGCTCCCCTTTCCGCTCTCCATTTCGACATCCCCCCCCCCCTATTACACTACCTCCCCGCTCTTCCAGAGCTACATTTCTCACCCACCCTGCTCTGTCCCATTGCTGCCTCATCCCCCTCTGCCCTCCCAGCTATGCTACCTCACCTTCTCCTTGCCTTACCGCTCTGGTCCCCCTGTACTCCCCTTTCGGCTCTCCATTTCGACATCTCCCCCCACCTGTTACAATACCTCCCCGCTCTTCCAGAGCTACAGTTCTCACCCACCCTGCTCTGTCCCATTGTTGCCTCATCCCCCTCTGCCCTCCCAGCTGCTGGGCCGCCGCGATCACTTAAGCCCACCACCCCCCTTCACTCTATCCCTGCCTCCCCACCGCCCCGCAGTCAACGCGCTCCCCTGAAACTCCCCCCCAGCAGCCCCACTCTTAACCCCCCTATGCCCAATGTCTCATCCCCTCCTGCCCCCCCAGCGGTCGGACCCCTGCATTGCCACGAGCTTACCCCACCCTCTCACCCCCCCCCCCACCCTTGCCTCTCTCTACAGCCTACTCTCCCCCATAGCCCCTCCCCCCCCCCCCCCCCCCCCCGAACCTCATCCACTCCAGCCCCTCCCCTTGGGGCTCACCCCCCCTCCTCTCGCCTGAGCTTTGGCCCACCTTTCCCCACTGTATTCACCTCACCCTTCTTCTCTCCCCCCACTCTCGCCCCTCCCTGCCAACAGCCCCCCCCCCCCCCGGGAACCCTCCTCTGCCTGCTCCATCTCCCCCCGACTGCACTCTCTATTATAGTCACAATAGGCTTGAATGTGCCTAAAACGAAAGATAGAGTGCACTGACGGATTTCTGCAGAGCGGCTTCAAACGTTGATAGCGTTCTTTTCAAAGCTTCAAATGACTTGCTATAAATTGGATCTGGAGCTTCTTGATATCGCCTACACTAGGTAATTTTGATCGCACAATTTCATTAAGAATTGACGACACAGCATCAGTTTGAACGAACGGCACTATGGCAGCCACTATAGTCTTAGAACACAAATTAGGAAGAGTTATGGGTTGGGAATGACTCCCAGCCTCTACAAACCCCAAGAGCCGATGTACAGTGATGTGGAACAGTGCCACACTGTCCCCAACCACGAAGGGTCTCAAAAATACCCTCCACAAGGGCCTACACCAAGAGAAATGTTACACTACACAAAGTAATGTAACTATTCTCACTATCTTGAAGTTTACCCTTTTGGAGAGCTTCGAAATCACTTGAATCTTGAAACCAAGGCTCTAGTTCTTCAAAATAAATTCTTCCTTGGATTCTTGGAAGTCTGCTGCGCACACCTGCGTCACGCCGAACGTTCCACACACGACAAAATAGAAAACCGCACACGACACGCAAACGACGACGTGACACGCGACTAGCGATACCTCGCTATTGACTCGACACACACATTCAAAATCATGCCTCATCATTCACACACTATTGCAAGCATGAAATATATATTATCTCATGCCCTCATACCATTCCATGCACACACGCATGTACGCACACGGACAACAAGCCGAATGCAAACCATAGGGTTGCACCAACACTCTCCTCACCCCCCTCCCCTACAGTCCTCAGCTATCCCCGCCCCCCTTGTGGCTGGGCCCTTATCCAACCTTGCTCCCGTTCTGGCTGCTCCCCCCCTTTAAGAATGCTCTCCCCCACGCAGGCAAGGTCGAGACGTGGATATGTGCGCTATGCGATTTGACCTGTGGCGCTGCCCTCGACAATGCCATGCTTCACATTCAGTCCGAGCTGCACACCTCTCGCGTGAAGGCTACGGCCCACCGCCCGGCAGCCAAGGAGGATTTTGGCCCCTGGCTCACTCTCACTCTGCAGCAGAAGCCTACGGTGGCTGCCTTCCTCTGTGGCTGAATCCAGCGCCCTTGCATGAACGCCTTGGTAGAGGCCTCCTTGCATATTCTGGGGTGCACCCCTTCTTGGCCTGCTAGCATGCATTTGTATCTGTCATTATTATAATGTCGTCGATCGTACCAAGGCCGACCTTTGCCACTCTGCTCAAACGTAAACAATCAGCAGTACATTTTACGCACAAAGCCTTGTTCCAAATATTACACCAAGATACCCCCACATACACCTCCTGCTTTAGCCTGCCCAAATTCCTTTGCAACAGTCAAGACATGCCCCACCCCAAGCCCTCGGTATACCTTTTTCTGCCTCCGTTACACCCTGGCCTGTGGTGCTCCAGTCCCCTCCTCTCACTCTGCGTTCCCGGCAGCCTTCCTTGCTACATCAACCCCTAATACAATCTCAACCATCGGAGAGCTACCCTCCCCCTGCCTCCCCCCCCAGTAGGCTCCACCGCCCCTTGCCTGTCGGCCAGGCGACACTACGATTTTTCAATAAATCTTGCCCTACAACTGAATATCCTCTCCAACACAAGTCAAATTTGTAATTGGAAACATTGTCATAATATCTGTCACTCCTCCCTATCTCAGGATACACGTAACACCGGCTTCTCCCCCATCCCAAACACTCCACGTTACAAATTCCTTCCCATGCCGTGGACACGCCAAGCATCTCCTACTGGCCCCACCTCCTCCCCTTACACTCACCAGCTAAAACGTTTGCTTAGGCCGTGGATACGCACGATCGCCCGTGCGTTGGCCTTCACGTCGTTGCCATGTTAACACACCTCCGCATCCTATGCATCATTGTGAATGGAATCAACGAGACTCGCAAAATGGATGAGCTTAAATCCTGGCTCTCGCGCCTCCCTGCCCCCACTGACCTGCTCATCCTCATCGACACCCGTCTCATCCTCAGAATCCCCAATCTCGACTTTAAATTTCGACCTCACGCCTCTGCTCATGCCCCGGCGCTGCTCTCAACAGACAGCGCTAGCGCGAGGCCCACCCTCATCGGAGGCATCTCAATGCTCTCTTTCAACAGGGCCATCTCCCTTTCCTCCCTGCTATGGCAGACTTCTCTCTGTACATCTCAACTATCTCCGTGAACAAATCCGTCTCATAGCCATATATGCGCCCACACAATTCTATGAGCGTCGAATATGGTGGACCACCACGCTTGTCCCGGCGCAGGAAACTCCCACCGCTGCCTCCGCGTCCATGCTCACCGGAGACTTCAACTCGGTCATCCTTCCCATCGACAGAAACCGCCCCCCTAAAGATCACGAATGTCGAGAAGGAGCTTCCTTTGCCAAACTCATGGATACTCATGCGCTGGTCGACACATTCCGTGCACTCCACCCCACGCCTACCGACGTTTTCTCCTTCTTTGGCAGGCAACGCCACAATGCCGTGACCCCGCCCACTTCCTCCCGTCTTGACAGAACCTACATCTCCTGAGCCTTCCTCCCCCGGCTCGTTGCTAGCCCGTACCTCCAAACCCGTGGGACTATCACGGATCACTTGTATGCCCCTCTCTCCTCGCTCTGTTTCATCAACCCCACAGTAGCCCCCCGTCCCTGGCGACTACGCCAACATCTACTCATGCGCCCCCACGCTGCACAAATAATTGATGCCGCCCTTGCAGCCTTCCCCTCCTCCCCTTCCCTGGATTCTTGGGACAAATGGAAGCTCGACCTCACCCTTCACCTCAAAAGATTTTCCAACCGGGAAAAGTGTCGTATCGACGACACGATTGCACATCTGGAACGCACCATTGGCTCACTACAACTGCAAGCAGCGTATACTCCCTTGGACCAGGATGAGTCTTCCCGCCTAGACCAAGCACGGCTCCACCTGGCCAGATACGAGGCCTTGAAAGCCTCCGAGATTGCGCTCAAGGCTAAATTTAAAGTGGAGGGGCACAAAGAAATGGGAGTCTCCTCCCTCCTCTCCGGACTCAAATCCCGGATCAAAGGCTCGATCATCAACTCTTTGACCCTACCTAACGGACAGACGACCTCGGACCTCTCCACCATGACCAAAATATGCTCTAACTTCTTCCTGACCCTTTACAGCAGGAGCAACACTGTCACTCCCAACCCATCCTTCTGGCAACATATCCCCCCCTCCTCCATCCTGAACCCCTTACTCATTCGCCTCAGTGCCCCCCTTTCCCTAGCCGAAATCGGAAAGGCCCTTCTCTCTCTTTCACGAGGAAAAACCCCTGGCCCAGACAGTCTCCCTGGGGAGCTCTTCCGACAATACTCCCCACACTTTGCACCGGCCTTTCACTCCCTGCTGCCACCATCATAGACACTCTCCCGCCTCCCTTCGTCCATGCTGACCAAAACGAACTGTCCTTATCCCTAAAAGGGGGGACTCTTCGCTAGTGGAAAATCTCAGGCCCATCACCCTCATGAACGCTGATTACAAGGTCCTCCCGCTATGCCTTGCTAACCACCTCCAGCTCGTTCTCCCCCAACTCATCCACCCATCCCAAACCGCTTTCATCAAGCACAGGAAAATCGGGGACACAATTAACGATACCATTGACATCATTGACTGGGCGGCTTTCTCCTCATCCCCCCTTCTCGCTCTTACGGTGGACTTTCGCAAGGCCTACGACCTTGTCGACAGGCCTTTCCTCCTCCAGGCTTTATCAGTCATGGGGCTCCCCGCACCTTTCATCCACTGGCTCCGACTAATGCACTCCGAAACGTACACATGCGTCTCGGTTAACAACATGCGCAGCCCCACCTTCCCCGTCAGAACGGGAGTCCGACAGGGTTGCCCACTGGCTCCCTTGCTCTTCGTCTGCGTCGTCGAGATCTTCCACCGTTACATGTCCCTCTTCCTTCCCGGTTTCGCCTTGTCCTCCACTCAGCGCCGCCTCATGGCATGCTATGCGGACGATGTTACTCTTTTCCTCACCTCAGATGCAGAGCTCGGACAAGTTGTAATGCTGCTTGGCGTTTCTGGATCGATCTCTGGTGAGGTCCCCAACTGGAACAAGTGCTCCATACTTCCATTCAATATCCCCCTTGCTGACCTCGTTCATGCCGGGATTATACCCATCCGAGCTCCCAATGAGGCAGAACGCATCCTCGGAATCTACGTCGAGCGTTTACACCCAGGCTCCACCACCTGGAACAAGGCTCTCCCGCGCATACAAAGCACCGCCAAATTCCTGGCAGCCCTACACGCCACTGTCACGTGCCGCAAATCCCTTTCCTTGATAATTCTTAACACAGTTCTTTCTTTTCCCGGACGCTTTCAACCCGTCCCACCAGACACAATCAAACGCCTTGATGTGTCAGTTGGGAACTTCCTCTCGTCCTCGAAACATAAACAAGATAGCCTCGCACAACGCCTCATTTCCAATGGTCTGCTGTACAACTCCCCCCAAGACGGCGGGATCAGTGCGATCGCACTGTCTACACAATTCAAAGCTCTTGCTATTCAGCGCGCCTTGGGCAGATTCAGACCAACCCCCTTCAAGGAAGTAGCACGTACCTTGACCCCGTTCCCCTTCGGGCTGCACGGTCTACTCTCCCACAAAGCCATCCTCGAACGAGACTATTTCCCCACCTTCATTCCCCCTCGGGCGCTGGACGAATTAAAAGCCCTCCTCTCCCTTCCGCTAGTATGGCCCCCTCTTACACATGCATTGCATCCTCACCGAACCTATCGCCTTCAACCGTTCAATCCTCAAACCCGACAATCGGCCTTTTGGCACCCGCCAACACGAACGCTTCCTTCTTACAGGGCAATTCCGCATTGGACACATTGTCAGAATCAACAACCTTCAGGTCGGTCCTATTTCTACAGAAGAATTTTGCTCCCAACTCCCGGAGAAATTCCACGCAGACGCAAGACGCGTCCTCCTAGAGCTTATCAAGGCTATTAAACCACCCTGGTGGGCCGCCCTCCGAACCCCACACGCCTCTTCTGCTTCCCCATGAGACTGGTTCATGCTCTCGGAAGAAAACTACACCGCTTCTCATCTCGCTCTCCAAGTTGTCTCTTTCACCCCCCCCTCCTCCGTCTCGGCTACTATCCACCACGTCTCGCCAAATAAACGCATCGCCCGTACCCCAGCAGACACCGGACTTTTTCGCTTACAGGACCTCATGGAGATGTACGTCAGGGGTTGGTGGCTCGTAGGGCCACTTCACCAAGGGGCCGGGTTAGGGGCTAGGGTGGGACTACTGCAGGACGGCACCCCCAGCATCGCTGTCATCCGCCGCCTCCTCTACTCAGCACAACCACTAACTCACCACCTCCGTTGGACCCGCGACCTCACCCTTCCTCCTCCTCCTCTCCCTGACCTTAAGCACTCATTTCTCAGGGATCAACCGAGCCGCCAGCGGGACATCCTTTTCAGATTTTACACGCGCACCCTTCCCTCAGGGTCTCGCTTCCAATACTTTGACGACAGGAGGATCTGCTCCCGTTGCCCAGCCGCTGTCGTTGAGACACTACCACATATCTTCTTTGAATGCTCCTCCGCCCGCAACGTCATCTCAGCCCTCCGCACAGTCGGTGACCGCCACCTTGGACAAACAACCACCACCGAGCACATCTTCTTCCCCATACCGTCACGGGTAGGACAGTCCCCACCTTGGAGCCTACTAGTGGGAGCGGCTATTAAGACACTGTGGCAGGCACGCTGCGCCCACAAGAACCACAACTCTTCTTCCTCGAGTTTCAAAATCCTGCAGCTGATACTAGCTCTGTTCCTTATCGTCTTCAAGATTCTTAAATTGGAGAAGCCGATGCTAATCTCCCCAAAAGCGACAACGCACATCCTCCTGCATCAAGTGAGCACAAGAACTCCGCTTCCTCCTCTTTGACCGACATAGTATACCCTCCATTCACCCCGACCTCAGATTCTCCTGGCTCTTGGGGAACCCCAGTCTTTGTCTACTGCCTCTAAGAAGAAACGGCGATTTGCGCAAGCATATCTCCCATTCGGCATGCCCCCTGCGAAACCAACTCCACCCCCGGCCCCCGTCGAAGCTCCCTCGCTTGTGTCTCGTGAACTCACCCGCGCTGAAAAGGCGGAGGAGAAATTCTTGAAGGCGCAGCAGCTGTACGTCACGCAGTGGCTACCGAAGTTTGAGTGGCTGCTGCTTGATAAAAACGAGGAAGGGTTGCCGATCTTGCGATGCAGCATATGTGTGGAGCACGGGAAAGACGACGCTAAGTTTGGTCGGAACGGAACTGGGGGACGTGATCTGCAGCTCGGCTCAATGCGATGTCACGAGCTGAGCTTCCGCCATGACGACCCTATGAAGAGGCAGCGGACCCTCATGGTGTGAGAAGGATTGATGAAAGAATGAATAAACTAGAAAATGAGATGGGTACAAATAGGAAACACATAAGTGTTGTACCCTCTAAGAGCTACCCCACTACAGCCTAAATAGACCATAGCAGATATAAGTTTGACACACCCCCATACGCAAAGTGGGGGAGAACAAGAGGTCACAAGACCAGTCAAGAAAAGCAAAGCAAGCTCAAGGTGGATCACAAAGTCACCACACAGTCTGAGCACAAGCAAAGGGCCATAAGGCCAGTTCACATGCAGAGTTATATAAAGGAAAGCAAACAGTACAGTGAACACAACCTAGCAAGTGTAAGCATGCAGGTATAAGTATATAGAGTACAGTACAAGTAGAGTCAAGAAGTCAACAAGTGAGGCACAGTAGGTACAAGACCTAACACAGTACAGAAACGCTGATGATCACAAGGCTGAAGTGCCTTGGTGAAAACATCAGCAGTGTTGGCCTGAGAGGCCACGTAAGCAAGACGAAGCTGGCCACGCTGCTGCAACTCTCGAGCAAGGAAGTAGCGCAGAGCAATGTGCTTCGTTCTGTGCTCCAGTCTGTGCTCTTGACACAAGGCCAGCACGGCCTTGTTGTCGACGTACAGAACTGGAGGAGAACGAGGCGCCTCTCCCAAGTCGGTCAGCAGGTAGGTGAGCCAGCGAAGCTCCTGTGCAGCCATGGCCCCAGCGTAGATCTCAGCCTCACAACTGGAGCTGAGAACAGAAGAAGAGCGGGTAGACCGCCAGGAGACAGAACCGGAGCCAAGGCTGAAGGTGTAACCCTGTGACGACCGCTGCGTAGCCAAGTCGTCAACCCAGGAGGCGTCAGCGTGACCAGTGAGGACAACTCGAGCCCGTCCTCCAAGCACGAGCCCCATGTCCGATGTACTGCACAGGTATCGCAACACCCTCTTTGCAGCATCCCAGTGCACCTTTCGGTGCCTGCCGGGAGCCACGTAGCGAGCCAGAAGGCTGAGAGGGTATGCGAGGTCAGGTCGTGTGCAAGTGATGAGGTACATGAGGCAGCCCACAAGCTCTGGATACGGGCCACTCGGCTCTACGGACTCGTCCGAAGGTGGAGCTGAGAGTGAGTGACCGGTAGGCAGAGGAGTGGACTGTGGCGAGGAGTACGTGAAGCCGAAGCGCTGAAGGACCTGCTGCACCATGTGTGACTGAGTCAAGGTAATGGTGCGCTGTGCTCTGTCCCGGGTGATCCGCAAGCCAAGATAGCTTGTCAGCTCACTCAGGTCTGTGCACGTGTGTCTCTTCTGCAGCTCGGACTTCACGTGGGCGAGTGCCTCCGTGTCAGCAGTAGCAAAGACAAGGTCGTCTACGTACACAAGAACGTAGAACGGCGGCAGAGTAGCGTCAGTGCGTAGAAACAGAGAAGGGTCAGCAGTGGAAGGAGCAAAACCAAGAGCAGCAAGAGTCGTCCTGAGCGTGTCGTGCCACTCACGGGGCGCCTGGCGGAGACCGTAGACTGGCCGCCGGAGGCTCCACTGGGTACCAGCAGGAAACGACCCAGTGAAGCCAGGTGGGCGGCGCAGCCAGATCTCCTCGTGCAGGCTGCCCTGTAGGAAGGCTGTGCTGAAGTCAAGCGAGTGGAGCTCGTAGTCACGCTGAGCAGCAACGTGCAGCATTACCCGAAGAGTGGTCATCTTCGGGGTAGGGGAGAAGGTCTGAAAGAAGTCAACTCCCTGTCGCTGACTGAAGCCACGTGCAACGTAACGCGCCTTGAAGGCAAGCGGAGAACCCGGCGGCCGCTTCACCCTGAAGATCCACATGCCACTGACGATGTTCGCCCCAGGTGGGGGAACCTCGTCTACGTAGGTGCCTGTGGACTTCCAGGAAGCCATCTCTGCGTCCATGGCTGCCTGCCACTGAGAGGAGTAGGGACCCTCTATCGCCTCTGCGTAAGAGCGCGGGGTCGGGATGTCTAGTGCATCCGGGTCTCCCTAAGGGGCAAGCAGCATGGACACGAGATGAGGTGAAGCAGCAGCAAAGCACTCAAGGTCCTCCTGTCTGTCCTCAAGGACGTCCGTGCGAAGAGCACACTCACCCCCGACGGACGGAGGACAGACAGACGCAGACGCAGACTCAGCAACAAGACTAGCGGCGTAGTCTAGGCGACAGGCTGCAGCAAAGTCAACAAGCTCAGCAACAAGAGCAGACGCAGCAGAGGACTCAAACAGAGGGTCAGTGACAGCAGTGGCCAGAAAGTGCGTGACAGTAGGACTAGCAGCACGAAGGGAGTCAGACTCCGAGTCCGGACCGTCAGGAAGAGAGGACGCAGGAGGAGAGAGCAGAGGGACACGCTTTGAAGCAGTAGAAGGACGCAGTGTCATAGAGTGAGTGCCTGGGACACGTGGAAGACGCGGACGCGAAACACGACCAGCGCGAACAGTGCGGACAGGCGACGCAGAACGAGACGCAGGAGACACAGGATGCGACTCAGGCTCACGACGCTCCGTAAGACCTCTAGTCGGACCAGAGTAAGGAGAAGGACCAGGCAGGGGAGGGGCCGGCTGCAACTGCGACTGAGACTGGACAGGCGGTGGACTCAGGAAAGGAGGAGGAGGAGGACCAGGAGAATGCGGGGAGCCAAGAACCTGCTGAAGGAGGGGAACGTAGTACGGCCGCGGCCGCGCAGCGCCTCGAGAAACAGCAGAGACAGAACCGGTACCCTCAGCCCCAGGGTCTCCAGTCCCAACAGCACCTCCAGCAGCTCCAGCACCAGCACCAGCAGCACCTCCAGCAGCCCCAGCACCAGCACCACCTCCAGCAGCACCAGCAGCACCTCCAGCAGCTCCAGCACCAGCAGCACCTCCAGTAGCTCCAGCACCAGCACCACCTCCAGCAGCGCCAGCACCTCCAATAGCTCCAGGAGCACCTCCAGCACCTACAGCACCAGCAGCACCTCCAGCAGCTCCAGCACCAGCAGCACCTCCAGCAGCTCCAGCACCAGCACCACCTCCAGCAGCGCCAGCACCTCCAGTAGCTCCAGCACCAGCAGCACCTCGACAGCGCCGAGAGTACCACTCACGAAGCCGCTGTGGAGAGAGGGGCTCCCGCCGTGACGGGACACCCAGAGCACCTCCAGACTCAGCACCCCCAGTCTCAGCACCCCCAGTCTCAGCACCCCCAGTCTCAGCACCCCCAGTCTCAGCACCCCTAGCAGTACTTGAGTCGACAGCTACCTCGACCGGCTCGGCAGGGTCTACCTGGGACACACCTGAGGGGGCAGGACCCTGGGGGGGAGGGGGTCTACCAGGGGAGTACCTGGTGCGAGGAAGAGCGGCGGGGGGGGGGGAGAGGCAGTGCGGTAGGGAAAGAGACGGTAGTACGACACCGACTCGTCGAACGTGACATCCTGAGAGGACAGAACACGACGCGAGGTGGGGTGGTAGAACTGTCACCCGGGTGCGTCAGGAGGGAAGCCAAGGAAGACACAGGGAACGGCACGGGAGGACAGCTTGTCCGCAATAGTATCGCGGACAAAAGCTCGAGATCCCCAGACATGAAACGCGGACGCATCGCCAACCTTCCCCGTCCACCGCAGAGTAGGTGTGGTCTCCGGCAAGGAGACACGAGGCTGAAGGTTGATCTGATGCGCCGCGTACTGAACCGCGAACGGCCACAGAAAATGGGGAGCAGCCGCATGGATCATGGACGTACGAGCGACGTCCATGACCATGCCAATGCGGCGCTCAGCAATTCCATTTTGCTGCGGGGAGGCCGGAAGCGTGAACGTCTGGCGGATGCCCTCCAAACGATAGAAGGCCCTCAGGAGGTCGGAGGAAAACTCCCCGCCTCTGTCCGAGTGCAGGCGCAGAACAGGAAGGTCTGAGCCGAAACTCTCACTGAGCTGGCGACGAGCACCGCGGATCCAGTCGATCAACACCTCAGTGACCGCACCCTTGCTGCGCAAGGGGAAGACTGTGGTGTAACGCGAGTAGTCGTCAACGACCAGGAGGAAGTAGCGCTCGTGACCCTGTCCACGGACGCGGGCTGGGCCCCACACGTCCATGTGAAGAGTCTGCAGAGGGGCTTCAGTCGGAGGAAACGAGGAGTGAGGGGCAGCGCGCTGCCGGCCCTCGACACAAGGAACACAGGTGGGGGCAGGCCCCGGAGGAAGGGGAGGGAGGGACCTGGGTAGACCCGAGACAAGGGCACGGGAGGCCATACCTCGAAGACGAGGCAGGGAGGGGTGACCAAGGCGGTGGTGCCAAAGGAGAGTCTCGTGTGCCAAAGGACGACACGAGCAGGGGGCAGACGCAGGACTAGACCTGGACGCGGCAGCAAACACCTGACTGGACGCAGCTACCTGACCAGACGCAGAGAATGGAGGAGGCGTAGTAGTCAGTGTGTACAGACTCGACCCTGGCCGACGGGTGAACGTGGCCAGGTGACGGCCCGTCCGAGAGCAAGTGCAGTGGGTCACACGCTGACCTCCAGGGGTGAACTGGTCAACCCACGCGTCCTGGAGGTCAGCTCCACTCACCAGGTTCGTAGAGAACGAGGGGAGGTGGAGTCCCGACAGCAAGCCCGACGGGGCCGCAGGACATGGTAGGACAGTGGAGGAGTGTGCAAGTACTGGGCCCCCTGAGGGGTCAGCAAGGGAGACCGCAACAGGCCGACGGAGCGGCGTGAGCGTGGTGCTGTCTCTAAAGAAAGAGCGCGAAGCACCAGAGTCAAGTGTGATGGTGTGCAAGGACTCAGTAGGTGCAGTACCTGAGAGAGGAGACGTACCAGCACCTGGAGAAGCAGACGCACTAGCACCTAGAGCAGCAGCCGCACTAGCACCTAGAGCAGCAGCCACAGTGCCCGGGTCGGGCGGGACACGCAGGTAACAGTCACCCTCAGTAATATCAGCAAGAGCATACATGGCAGCAAGGATAGCATCAAAGTCTAGATCAAAGATAGGCACATTCTGCAGAAGCAGATCATGCCAACGAGGAAGATCAACAGCGTCAGGAAACTGGGTACGCCAAGCGTCAGTCAGGCGGCCGAAGCAGCGCTGCGTGGTGTGTGGGAGACCACACACCTCCCCACTACGAGTGCCTGTGCGAAGAACGTACGTGCAGGGACCTGCACCCCCAGACCTCCCACGCCCAGCGTACCACTCACGAAGCTGCTGAACAGACGGGGTCTCACAAGTGCGCAGCTGCTGCTGACGCTGGCCGCCACCGACGCCCCCACCCCCGGGACCACCCCCACCACCACCTCCACCTCCTCAACCGCTTCCTCCACCACCCCCTCCACCACCCTTGCTTCCCTTGCCCTTGCCAGTGCGGCGTCGCCCACTAGGGGCAGACGCAGCGCCGACCTCCTCAGTGCCAATGAGGTCGACAGCAGCAGCAGAGGCAACAGAGGGGAGAAGGGGGACAGGGGAACACCACTCAAAGAAGGGGGTGCGACGGTCGCCGCGAGAAGCCCCAACAGCTAAGATACTCTTCTCAGCTGCAGCAAGGCGCTCCTCTAGCAAGTCGACAGTCAGCTCGGTAGGGCAAAGGGAGAGAAAGTGATCCCTGACTGAGGAGAGAGAGTCAGGGAGGCGGGTGACTAGGTAGTAAAGGGTGATGTACATGGGGGGGGAGTTCGTGGGAAGAAACTCAGTGGGAAGGGCAGCGCGGTAGCGAGCGTCACTAGTGCGGAGGTGAGCAACTAGGTCAGCAACTGTGGAAAAGGCGGCAAGGTCAGGAAAAAGGTACGGCAGCATGAGGCGGCTGAGGGCAGCAGTGGTAGGGGAGGAGTAGCGTGCAAATACAGCGTCGTACAGAGCCCTAGCACTCTTGTACTGACTAAAGTGCGCGCGCTCAGTAGACGGCAGGTGATTGCGCACAGCAAGACGAGCAGCAGCATCGCGCGTGAGCCACTGCGAGCGAACAGTACTGTCAGCATCAGTAGTAGGGGCAGTAGAGGCGCCAGACGTGAGATCGAACAGTGAGAGACCATCCTTGCTATTGCACTGTAGGAAAAGCTGCAGATCATCTAGCCAGACCTCAAAGTCAACAGCTCGACCCTCAGCATCAAAGGTAAGAACATTGAAACTAGCCATGACAGGAGAAGCAGCAGGCTAGCAGCAGCAGCAGTGCAACTCGGCTAAGCAGGCTAGGCAGGGCGGCGCAGCTCGGCAGGGCGGTGTGGCTCGGCAGCGCGGCGCTCTTACCAGGGGAGAGGCTGGGGCAGGGCCGGGGTAGGGCCGGGGCAGTTCAGGAGCAGGGCCGGGGCAGGGCCGGGGCAGTTCAGGAGCAGGGCCGGGGCAGGGCCGGGGCAGAGCCGGGCCAGGGCCAGGGCAGTTCAAGGGCAGGGCCGGGGCAGGGCCGGGGCAGTTCAGGAGCAGGGCCGGGGCAGAGCCGGGGCAGAGCCGGGCCAGGGCCGGGGCAGTTCAGGGGCAGGGCCGGGGCAGTTCAGGAGCAGGGCCGGGGCAGGGCCGGGGCAGGGCCGGGGATGGGCCGGGGCAGAGCCGGGGCAGTTCAGGAGCAGGGCCGGGGCAGGGCCGGGGCAGAGCCGGGGCAGGGCCGGGGCAGGGCCGGGGCAGAGCCGGGCCAGGGCCGGGGCAGTTCAGGGGCAGGGCCGGGGCTGGGCCGGGGCAGTTCAGGAGCAGGGCCGGGGCAGTTCAGAAGCAGGGCCGGGGCAGTTCAGGAGCAGGGCCGGGGCAGGGCCGGGGCAGATCCGGGGCAGGGCCGGGGCCGGGCCGCGGCAGTGCAGGAGCAGGGCCGGGGCAGAGCTGCGACAGGGCTGCAGCAGGGCCGGCGCAGGGCCTGACGGGGCCTGACGGGGCCGAGAACTGGTCCTGACGGGGCCATACGGGGCCTCTAACGGGGCCTGACAGGGCCTTACGGGGCCTGACGGGGCCTCTAACGGGGCCTGACAGGGCCTTACGGGGCCTTACGGGGCCTTACGGGGCCGTACGGGGCCTAATGGGGCCTTAAACGGGGCCTGACGGGCCCTTACGGGGCCTTACGGGGCCTTAAACGGGGCCTTACGGGGCCTTACGGGGCCTTAAACGGGGCCGTACGGGGCCTTACGGGGCCTTAAACGGGTCGTAAACGAGGCCTTACGGGGCCTTACGGGGCCTTACGGGGCCTTAAACGGGGCCGTAAATGGGGCCTTACGAGGCCTTACGGGGCCTTACGGGGCTTTAAAAGGGGGCCGTAAACGGGGCCTTACGGGGCCTTACGGGGCCTAACGGGGCCTTACGGGGCCGTAAACGGGGCCTTAAGGGGCCTTACGGGGCCGGAAAAGGGGGCCTTACGGGGCCTTACGGGGCGGGCGCTGGCTCTAAGGGCAGGCGCAGGGGCCGCGACGGGCCTCGAAGGGAAGGCGCGACGCGCGCGTCGAGCAGGCAGTGACGAATTTCAGTGGTGGGCCCTTTTTAAATATTCTCGAAACTAGCTCTATACCATGTGAGAAGGATTGACGAAAGAATGAATAAACTAGAAAATGAGATGGGTACAAATAGGAAACACATAAGTGTTGTACCCTCTAAGAGCTACCCCACTACAGCCTAAATAGACCATAGCAGATATAAGTTTGACACATGGTGGAGATTGAGAAGCAAAAGCGGATCGACGATTTCGCCAACGCCGACAAGGAGGGTGCGCGGCTCACTCGCCTCATGCGGAGCGTGGAGTTGATCTGCGACCACGACGCTCCAATCGCCATGTTCCCGAAGCTCGTGGGCTTCTTGGCCGAAGAAGGTGTTGTAGACATCCCGCTGCAGTCTTACGGGGTTTACATTACGCAGTAAGTCTACCGTTGTTTTTGTTTAAATTGATATGAACGAAATTATTTTACGGTATACGAACATACATGCATGACACCGACCTGCTTCGTGCGGCAGGTACGGCTTCAACAAGATGGCAGGGGCTATGGCAAAGTACCAGCGATCGCAGCAGCTGCAGCATCTACTCGCTTCACCGTTCATCGGCCTCACATTTGATGAGAGCACCAACCGCGCGCGTGGCAAACACTTGATAGTGTTTGCCACTTTCCTCAAGAATGGTGTCGCCGTTACAGAATTCTTGGGGCTGCTCACGGTGCAAAAGTGTGACGCTTCATCGCTCTTTACCGTGCTCATGAGCCACTTGGATTCTGTCGGTGTCGACATCAACTGCGTGTCCGGCGTCGGCACTGACGGGGCTTCCGTCATGACGGGCGATAAGGGCGGCCTTGTTTCCCGCCTTCGTGAACGCGTTCCTCATCTTGTCGGGTGTCATTGCGTTGCACATCGGTAATGTCGAAGCTACCGTGGATTGGTCCCATGTGTGTGTTTCTGCTCGTTGTACCGTTGTATTAATTTGTTTCCCATCTTTTACCTATGTGCTGCAGAGAGGCGCTCGTGGTCAAGGATGCTGCTAAGGCCTTCCCCGACTTGAACATGATCGACGAGGGTGTGCGTGCAATTGGCGAAATAATCTGTCGCTCGAACATCTGGTACGAGAGGTTCAAGGAGCTGCAGCAGGAGATACACAAAACCAACCTAGAGCATCAAGGACTGTTCAATGTCCACTGGGTGTCGCGGGGAGACGCAATCGCACGGCTGTGCAGAGTTTTCGGGGCAGCTATTGTCATGATTGTGGAGTATGGCCACAAGATTGCAGCAACAGTGCACACTTTTAAGTTTCACTTTTGTTTGTACTTCCTTGCTGACATTCTTGCAGAGCTAAACGCCCTGAACCGGTTTTTCCAGCACCGCAAGGCAAGTGAACGCCTATTTTCGGTTGAGTCGCATGCACCTCTGAATTTACAGTACTTAACTGTTTGTGGTTTTTATGTTTCCCAGGTCGACATCACCCAAGTGGCGAAGGAAGTGGACCGCACGATCACCATCATCACGCACCGGTACATCGAGTACGAGGAGACATTTGGAGGCAGGGTCAGCAACCAACTATCGAGATTCATCAAGGACCACGGCGGGGAAAATCAGACGCTGCAGGTTGAAGGGATTGACAGCGATGGGCGGCCGACATCACATCGATTCGAACTCAGCGAGAATCCAATCAAGAAGCATAAGTTTGGGGGCACGTTCGCGGACTGTGTGAAGTTGTGCACGGGGTTCGCGAAGGAGATCGTGGCCAGGATGAAGTTCTGCATGTGGGACTTTTAGCAGATGGGCGGCGCGAAGCTGTTTGAAGTGGAATCGTGGCCGTCTAGGGAGGACCAGAGGGAGATCAAGTGCCTGGATTGGCTGGCCCAAAACGACGAGCTATTTGGCGGCATACTCCCTGGTGAGATTGGATTTTGTACATGCCATCACGTCGGATCGGATTCCCCTGTGCATGTCATCGTAATGTACAAACCACTCATCCGTACATCCACCCTGTAAATCCCCGTCCACGTCAGGATTTAACGTCAAGGCGGCGAAGAAGGAGCTCAGGAGCTTCTGTCACATCTTGGCACGTCATCACGTGGGGGAAGATTTCCACCAAGAACTTCATAGCATGCTGAAGAGCAGAGACTGGCGACGTAGCTATCCGAACCTGATGACACTGTGGCAGGCACTCGCTGTGCTGCCACTGAGCACAGTTGAGTGTGAGAGAGGTTTCAGCCGCCAGAACATCATCAAAAGTTGGATGCGCACATCGCTGTGCGATGCACGCTTTTGCGACCTCATGACGCTGCACATGCTCAAGTACCCGTACGTGTGGCCAGATGTGGTGGACATCTGGCGCAAGCAGAAAAGCAGACGACCGGCGAAATCAGTTGCGCAGGCGACCCGAGTGGAAAGAAAGGGGAAAGAGAAAGTGCCTGAGCCAGAAGAAGAAAGTGACCACGAGCAACACCCGTTTGGCATGTTTGATGATGATGACTAAGATTGTTATTGTATGCTCTGTTAATAACAATTTCATCAGGGTTTGAAAAATTTGTACACTGATGCCCCAAGGTAGAATTTTCAAAACAAGCAGAAACCCTGATGGAAAAGTTTTTTCACAAGGGGTCACACTGATAATCAGGGTTTTGAACAAGTGCAACATTGATCATAAGGGTTGCTAAAAACAAAAAATTAGCCCTACTCCGGACCGGATTCAGCAAACGAGGCTATCGTCACTGCTGCCCTGGCAAAGCTCACATGGCGACTGTGCCTGTTCGGTGGGCTACCAGCAGCGGCAGCAGGAGCACCATATCCGTTCTGCTTCATTTCATTGTCTAATCCCCTACAGTCACCACAGTTGTTAACATGGCGACTGTGCCCGGTCGGAGAAGTACCAGCCACAGCAGCAGGTGCAGCGACCTGTCACCTGAGACCACCTGGGGCTGAATATTCTGAATATTCCTGTGTTATCATGCTTTCCTGACATGGCCAGAATATTGATGTCGATGTACATTACTGATGTTCTGACACTCAATGCATCTGGGAACACGTGCGATAGGGCCAAAGTATGCAGTGATAGCCTTGAACTTCCCATTCAGGAAATTCCGCTCCACCTGCGGCACGAAAACAGGGGTTGAAACAAGAACGCCAAAACACATGTTAGGAGGACCTCACATCATTGTGTGAGGAACGAGCGCATATCAGCACTGTAGCGAATTGCACCATTGTGTTATGGGTGGGGGTTCGCATGAGTCACGAGTCACGACGAGTGACGCACCAGGCAGGGACCTGAAGGGGTTACGGAGCAAGCGAGATGCTCCAGGTGGCAGATGGGAGTGTTGCGAGGCAGATACATGGCCACTGAGGGGGTGATGCTCAGCGCCAGCTGTAGCAGGGTAGAGCTGGGGGGGGGGGGGGGGGGGGGGGGGAAGCAGCACACGAGGCAAGGGCAGCGCTACAGATAGTGAGGCGCATGCTATTGGATGATTGATCATAGTCTCAAGAGTGAGGGAAGGAAAAAGGGCAATGGAACAAGGGCGCCATAGAGGGTGGAAAGAAGGACAGTCAGCATGCATGCATGCATGCACGGATTAGCGTGCTTGATCTACTATGGATGCAAAACAGCGGGAACACTTGAATACGGCGAGAAAAAGGCAGTCAAGGATGACACGTGCGCGCTGACTGGCTGCAGCTCTGATTGGTCAAGATACTCGGGGCCGCCCCATGGGGGGGACAAGAAGACCACATCAGCCTGCCATGCAGCACAAGGTAAAGGCACGACATGGGGGGTGGGGGGATGGGATGAGGGTTGGTCGCCGGGTGGGAGCGTAGAGTGTGGGAGAATGAGAGCATGTAAGCATGAGGGCAAGGGAGCATGCCAGCATGGGGCATGGGGAATGGGGCATGGGGGGACACGCGGGCATTAAGGAGGGGGGTTTTGGTCATACAGGAGCATGTGGGCATGGGAGCATGGGAGCATGGGAGCATGCGGTAATGGCAGCATGTACCACATGGGCCAGCCCTTAAAGCAAACAAGCCAAAGGCAAAGGCAGGAGAAGTGTGGCAGCACAGAGGAATGTTGCCATGCGTGAATTTGGTGAATCCAGAGGAGGGGGAATCTGGTGGACGGCACACTCCAGGGATGTGCATGCATAGGTATGTGTGGTCACACGGATGTCAGGGCAAACCGGGGAGCAAGCGCTCATGGAGCAAGGGAAGGAGCACGCTCATGGAATATCAGATGCTGATGCATGTGATGTTGACGCATGGTGAAATGGGAGATGCAACAGCACATGGGCTCATACACGGCCTCGGCCTATCCGGGCCCTCAGAAATCCTCTCACGGCGCGTGTACACTTGAGAGGATTCCTGATGGCAAGGGAGAGAAATCCTCTCGTGCACACTTGAGCCGTGTTGCGAGGGTTTTTTCGCAATCCTCCCACTCCCAGTCCTCACCTTGAGCCGCAGTGCACAGGAGAGGACGTCAGCACAAGCGCATCCACTCAGTATGGCGGACCGGGTCAGGGCCGTGGAGCGCGAGCGTTGTGAGGGGTTGTGGTGCAAACCATACGGCACCTCACAGATCCTCTCATGCCTCACCTTAAGCCGCGGTGCAAGGGACAGGAAGTCAGCACAAAGCACATCGATCGGTGGGCCAGACCGGGTCGGGGCTGTAGAGGCCAAGCGCTGTGAGGGGTTATAGTGCACACCATACGACACCTCACTGGTCTTCCCATGCCTCACCTTGAGCCGCGGTGCAACGGAGAGGAAGTCTGCGCAGAGCGCATTCACTTGTTGGGGCAGACAGGGGTCGTAGAGGGTGAGTGTTGTGAGGGGTTGTAGTGCAATGCAAACCCTACGACACTCAGAGATCCTCTCATGCCGCACCTTAAGCCGCGGTGCAAGGGAAAGGAAGTCGGCGCAGAGCGCATCCACTCGGTGGGGCAGATGGGCACCATAGACGCTGAGATTGTGTTGCAGCATGGCCAGGTGAGGCAGGCTCATGTCAATGGCCAGCACGTGGGGGCAGCTGGGAGGGGTTGGGGTTGGGGGTTGCTGTGGTTGCTGTGGCAAGGATGTATACAGGCAGGGGAGAAGGTACACTCGAAGAACCGTAGAAGCTGTTTAGTGAAGACACCACACAATGAAGCAACATTGAAGCAGCCGAAGTTTAATTGAAGCCACCACATGAGCCACTGCCACCACATGAGCCAGTGAGCCACTACACTGCTACCTGTTAGAAAGCCGTACGTACATACACATACAATTTGCAAGCTACATCGCCTTGCTCACCTGCTTCTCAGGGTGTCAACCCAACCTAAAAGCCCCACATGCAGAATCCATCCCCCACCGCCCCTAATCCACTCCCATAGCCGACTCAGCCCACTCACCACAATTGGGTTCCTGGGCCGCTTTAGGAGTGAGATACTGGGAAGTTGGTTAATTCTAGAAGCGCCCCCAGCAGCTAGTAAGGACTCACAGCTTCGCAAGGTGGATGGTGTTGCCGCCCACCCCACAGAACGCAGAATGGAGAAGGTTACTGGGTGACTGGATAACCCTAAACCACCAGGCAGTGAGCTCAGCTGGCCCTGGAAGGCCCCCCAGCCCTTAGCGTCCGACTCACGGCTTGGCAGTGTGGATGGTGTTGCCACCCACCCCACAGAAGGCATCCACCACCACGCCTGCCCCACCCGCCACGCCTTTTGCACCCCCCATCCCTGCTGCACCCCTTGTGCCTGCTGCGCGCTCACAACTCTCCATGCGTGTTTCACTCCCACACCTCCCTTCGCCCAGGGAACCATCTCTAGGTTCCTCTTCTCCTTCCTGTCTGCCCATCGCATCACGTTCCCTGTTCACCTCTCCCTCCCCTCCTGCCTTCCCCTTCTCCTCCCCCTCTGTTACTCGGACTCCCCTCTGCTCTAGTGCATCTTCCTCAGAGCTTAACAGTGCAGTGTGGCCAGCACGCATGGCAGAAACACACGTGGCAGCAGCATGTGTGGCAGCACTATCTTCTGCACAAGTGGCGCCTCTATCTCCTGCCGACGTGCCAGCACCACCACCTCCTACTGACGTGCCACAACCACCACATCCTGCTGGCATGCCAGCATCACCCCCTCGACACGTGGCATCATCATAATCCATGGCAGCAGCACAAATGGCAGCATGGTGAGCGGCAATGGCCTCAGGGGTGACAAGGGGCCACGCGTCAGCATCCAATAGGACGCCCTCATCAAACCGTGAGAACAGGCCGTACCGCTGCTGCCAGTACTTCTTGTACCCCGCTGCCACAGCCTGCTCTGCTACAGCGCCCCCTCTGCTACAGCCGGCTCAAGTAAGACCTGCTCCGCTTCTGCTTGTGCGGAATCTCCCTCTGCAGATACAGCCTGCTCTGCTACAGCCTGTTCAGGCATCGATCCCACCCAGCACGCAAGCCCACTCCCCTCGCCATGATCTGGCGGGCGCCACTGGGTGAGGGCGGGTGCAGCATTGCAGAAGTACACGCCGTGGGAGAGCGGCTCCCACACCGCCTGCCATGCTCCCTCCTCCGCCACCACGAATGAAACCCCCCGTGCCTGCCCTTCCTCCGCCTGCTCTCCTGTTGCTAACCCTTGCACCTGCTCTCCCCACATCTGATCTTCCCCCGTCTTCTCTCCCCCCATCTGCTCTCCTCCCATCTGCTCTCCTCCCATCTGCTCTCCTCCCATCTGCTCTCCTCCCATCTGCTCTTCCCCCATCTGCTCAGCACCACCCTCTGCCACGTTTTCACTAAAAGCCATTACTTCTGCCTCTGCAGCGACCCGTGCTGCTGTCCCCGTGCCACCCCGCACTGCCTCTGCACCGCTCCACACCACTGCCTCTGCACTGCTCCACACCACTGCCTCTACACCGGTCCCCACCACTGCCATTCCTGCAGCACTCTCTGCCGCTGTCCCTGCGATATCCCTTCCATCAGCAGCAGCCTGCTTTGCTGCATCTGCACTACCCTCCACTGCTATCGCTGCACCCACCCCTGCCACGCCCTCCGCACGGCGCTGTACCCCTACCACGCCCTCCGCACCGCACTCTACCCCTGCATCTGGAGCGCACTCTGCTGTTGATTGCCCATCTCCCCTCCTCCTACCCCGCCTCTTCTTCTTTCCTCCATGAGCCCCACCACCACCACCACCACCGCCACCACCACCGCCGCCACCATCACCGTCACTGCCGCCGCCCTGCTGCTGCATCATGGGAACACACGAATACAAACATTTCAACGTTTGTGCTTCGATACGAATTAAGGGCATGAGAAACGCTTTAAGCTGAGACGTCAGATAAAAGCATCCATGTGCATACCCCCCACCCCAGTTAGCCTTCACCACACGCACTCCGCCGAGAAGGAATGGGGGCAAGCAATCAAAAGGCATGCGTAAACAAGTTTGTTTTGACACGTCTCAAAACCAACTTGTTTATCACGTAAAAAAAGGGGCAATGCATGGACGGAAAGGGTTGCTGCTGCAAAGAGGGTACCGCGCGGAATAGACTGGGGGTATCAGAATTAGGGTAAAGAGGACAAGGGGAGAGCAGCAGAAATTGAGAGTGAAACCCCATAAAGCTCACGTACAGTCACCGCTGCAGCAATGGTGCTGCCGGCATGGTACCGATCCCTTACTGAACTGCACTGGCAAGCCAAAGGAACCCATGGCACCTGCCACCTCTGCTTCCACCAGCCTTTCCCCTGCCACCACTGCTCATTTTCCACTTACCTTAAAATCCTGTGCTGACTGCACGGCTCGCGCCCCTCCACTGAACTGCTCTGGCAGGCCAAGAGCAGTCATGGCGCCTGCCAGCTCCTCATCCTCGCGCCCTTCCCCTTCCACCCACCCGCTCCTTCCCAAACCCCCCTCCCCACAACCACCCCCTTCAACCCACCCGCCTCTTTCGCCTTCTCCCACTGCCGAAGCACATGCTGTGCGCCCCTCGCCTCCTCCCCACGGCATGACCTCCCGCTCGCCTCCCCTCCACTGCACCACCTGCACCTTGCTGCACTGCAGCTCGTTGCATGAGGGCCGGCGCCTGGTGCGATTGTCACTGTGAGTGAATAGGGGGGATGGGAAACGGGAACGGGAACGGGAGCGGGCAGAGGGGGAACGGGGGAGGGGACGGAGGGTCCAGGGAGTGGTAAGGGGGATGGGGGATGGGGGATGGGTGATGAGATGGGGGATGGGATGGGGGATGGGATGGGGGATGGGATGGGGGACGGGATGGGGGATGGGATGGGGGATGGGATGGGGGATGGGGCATGGGGGGTGGGATGGGGGCTAAGTTGGAAAAACTCGTTTCGCGTTTAGTACGCTTTCATATAAACGCTAGCACCTAAACGCAGTACGCTGGCCGGGAGGGGTCTGGTACGCACAAGAATCCGCTTGCCCGGGCAGGTGAAGTTTTTTTCCCAGGCAGGTTAGATGCTAGGCCAAGAGATAGAAACGGGAGGTGCTGTAGTAGGTCATCGTGGCAGGTGAAATAAGAAGGGAAGAAAGAAATCGAACGCATAAAATTTGGAAGGGAAAAACGACCTGACGATGGGTGGGGAGGATGAGCCTAGTTGAAGTATCTTCCACTTGACAACAAATTGGAAGGGATTGGTAATGGATGGGGGTGGAGTGGGTTGTTGAGCGGTGGAAGGGAGGGGATGATCCACAAACAATTTCGAAATTCAGATCTGAGGTTGCATTTGCAATGCCCTAACTCAGATCTGAATTTCGAGACTCCAAATTGAGTTTGCCAGATCGCAAACTCAACTGATTTTATTTTTTCGGTCAGCCCAAGCAAAATTTCAGCGTATCTTTAAAAAATCAGCAGCGTACAAATTCTGGATGCGTATAAACTCAATACGCAATTTCAAACTTGCGTTTTTTCCAACTTAGGATGGGGGAGCGGGGAGGCGCGATGGGGGATGGGATGGGGGATGGGGGGTGGGGGATGGGGGATGGGTGATGAGATGGGGGATGGGATGGGGAATGGGATGGGGGATGGGGTGGGGGATGGGGGATGGCGGATGGAGGATGGGGGATGGGTGATGAGATGGGGGATGGGATGGGGGATGGGATGGGGGATGGGAGTTGGGGGATGGGAGTTGGGGGATAGGGGATGGGGGGTGGGGGATGGGGGATGGGGGATGGGTGATGAGATGGGGATGGGATGGGGGATGGAGGATGGGGGGTGGGGGATGGGGCATGGGGTATGGGATGGGGGAGCGGGGAGGCGCGATGGGGGAGGGGACGGAGGATTCGAGGAGAGGAAGGGAGGTGTTGGAGGTGTGTGGGGGGGGTGGGGAATGGGAGGGGCTATCTTGCTGCCGCATTGCAGTGCAGCCTGTTGCTTGAGTGGCAACGCCTTGCTAGCGAGATGATTGCTGTGACGTGAAAGGTGTATGGGGAGGCAGTCGATTGAGAAAGACGGGGGGGAGGGGTGGTGTGCGGTGCAGGGAGGGGGGGGTGGGGGGGGGTGAGGGAGCGTGACGCAACCGTTTGGCTGCCTAGTTGCGTGTTCACCTTGCACGTTGCCCGTCGCGTGCAAAACATTGACGGTGGTAGCATTGGGCGACTTGCTAGAAAAAGGCTCCTCAACGGAACACTCACTATAAGATCACATTGACAACAACGAAGCTCCAACGCGATGGCCTCTTTTCTTGCGATTCCGATTGAGCCAGAGGCGGGGTTTGCGGCTGGGAGGAGCAAGGCGGGTCCATTCGAAATACGTAAATTTGGTCCCCTGACATACTGATGATACCAGTTGTATCCACTGCTATGCATGGCTCAACCATGTCTGAAGACGAGCCGCGACCAGTTTGCGGGATCAAGGGATATTATGGCTCAGTTGAAACTTGAAAATCCGCCTTTTCTGCACAGCGTGAAGTAGCTGGTAACCAAGGGCTTGCCAACATAGCGCAGGAAATGTTTATGAGAATAACAAACGAGAATGGATGAAATATGAAACAGTTGGGTACAAGTACTAACCCTAATTGGGTTGTACCCCTTATGGGCTACCCCACTATAGCCTACACAAATGTAAGCGCTATAACATTCTGACACACCCCCATAGGCAAAGTGGGGGAGAACAAGTGGTCACAAGACCAGTCAAGTAAGCAAAGCAAGCTCAGGGTGGATCACAAAGTCACCACACAGTCCGAGCACAAGCAAAGGGCCACAAGGCCAGTTCACATGCAGAGTTATATATAGAGAACAAACAATACAGTGATCATACCCTAGCAAGTGCAAGCATGCAGGTAGATATATAGATCACAGTACAAGCAGAGTCAAGCAGTAAGCAAGTGAGGTAAAGTAGGCACAAGGCCTAACACAGTAGCAAAGCGCTGATGATCACCAGGCGGAAGTGCCTTGGTGAAGACATCAGCAGTGTTGGCCCGAGTGGCCACGTACGCAAGACGAAGCTGGCCACGCTGCTGCAACTCTCGAGCAAGGAAGTATCGCAGAGCGATGTGCTTCGTTCTGTGCTCCAGTCTGTGCTCTTGACACAAGGCAATCATGGCCTTGCTGTCTACGTACAGAACTGGAGGCGAACGAGGCTGCTCTCCCAAGCCAGTCAGCACGTAGGTGAGCCAGCGTAGCTCCTGAGCAGCCATGGCTCCGGTGTAGATCTCAGCCTCACAACTGAAGCTGAGAACTGAAGACAAGCGGGTAGACCGCCAAGAACCGAGCCGGACCCAAGGCTGAAGGTGTAACCCTGTGACGACCGCTGCGTAGCTGAGTCGTCAACCCAAGAAGCGTCTGCGTGACCAGTGAGGACAACTGGACCCCGTCCTCCAAGCACAAGTCCCATGCCCGACGTACTGCACAGGTAACGCAGTACCCTCTTCGCAGCATCCCAGTGCACCTTTCGGTGCCTACCGGAGCCACGTAGCGAGCCAGAAGGATGAGAGGGTACACGAGGTCAGGTCGTGTGCACGTCATCAGGTACATGAGGCAACCCACAAGCTCTAGGTACGGACCACTCGGCTCTACAGACTCGTCCGAAGGTGGAGTTGAGAGCGAGTGGCTGGTAGACAGAGGAGTGAGCTGTGGCGAGGAGTACTGGAAGCCGAAGCGCTGAAGGACCTGGTGCACCATGTGTGACTGAGTTAGTGTGATGGTGCGCCGTGCTCTGTCCAGGGTGATCTGCAGGCCAAGGCTGCGCAGTTCACCCAGGTCAGTGCAGGTATGCCTCTTCTGCAGTTCGGACTTCACAAGGGTCAGTGCCTCAGTGTCAGCCGTGGCAAAGACGAGGTCGTCGACATACACTAGGACGTAGAACAGCGGCAGCGAGGTGTCGGTGCGTAGAAACAGCGATGGGTCTGCTGTAGAAGGAGCAAACCCAAGAGCCGCAAGTGTAGTCCTCAGTGTGTCGTGCCACTCGCGAGGCGTCTGGCGGAGACCGTAGACTGGCCGCCGGAGGCTCCACTGAGTACCTGCAGGAAATGTCCCAGTGAAACCAGGTGGTCGGCGCAGCCAGATCTCCTCGTGCAGGCTGCCCTGCAGGAAGGCTGTACTGAAGTCCAGGGAGTGTAACTCGTAGTCACGCTGAGAAGCGACGTGCAGCAACACCCAAAGAGTAGTCATCTTCGGGGTGGGGGAGAAGGTCTGGAAGTAGTTAACTCCCTGTCGCTGGCTGAAGCCTTGAGCAACGTAACGCGCCTTGAAGGCAGGCGGAGAACCCGGCGGCCGCTTCACCCTGAAAATCCACATGCCATCGACTATGTTCGCCCCATGTGGGGGAACCTCATCGACGTAGGTGCTTGTGGACTTCCAGGATGCCATCTCGGCATCCATAGCTGCCTGCCACTAAGAGGAGTAAGGACCCGTAATCGCCTCTACGTAAGAGCGCGGGGTCGGGATGTCTGGAGCATCCGGGTCTCTCTCAGGGGCAAGCAGCAAGGAAGCGAAACGAGGTACAGCAGCTGCAAGACACTCAAAGTCCTCCTGCCTGTCCTCAAGGACGTCCGTGCCAAGAGCACACTCACCCCCGACGGACGGAGGACTGGCAGGCACAGACTCAGCAACTAGAGCAGAGGCGTAGTCGAGACGGCAGGCAGCAGCAAAGTCAAGCAGCTCAGCAACGAGAGCAGACACAGCAGCAGACTCAAAGGACGGGTCAGTGACAGCAGTGGCAAGGAGACGAACGACAGTGGGACTGGCAGCACGCGCTCGGTCAGACTCAAGGTCAAGGACCTCAGGAAGAGAGGACTCATGAGGAGCAGGCAGAGGAACACGCAGTGGAACAGAGGAAGGACGGAGTGCCATAGTGTGCG